TTCCCCTGGAGGGTGGGTTGTGCCCCCTCCCCCCTTTGGTTGGGGGGGCCCCCCCCCCCCCCCCCCCCTGACTAGCGATGGCAGTGTGAGGTATGACGAGATCCCGACATCACAAAACAGAAAAAAGCGGAAGCGGGGACCTAACGGTGCGGCAGGCGACATCCAAGAGATAACCGAGCCGACCACCAACACGCAGGTATGGCACCAACACTGGAACTAGCAGCTCCAGAACACAAGATTCGGACCCCCTGTACCTACCCCCCCCCCCTGGAGTAGTTTCTATATCAACCATCGAAAGCTATGTATGCATGCGTGGTCAACGGCATGTGACGGAGCCCCCCCCCCCGGGAGGGGGAAAGACGGGCTTCCTCTCCCTCTGGGGACAAAGACAGCTACAGTATCGCCGTCCTCCTATTGTATGTAGCCTCCGTCACGGACTGGCGAAGTCGAGGGTCCACTTTTTTGCCGTCTGCGTGAAGGCGTCCTTGTCCTCCGCGAGCTGCCTCGCGATGTCCGCCTCCAGAGGGTTGTCCGCGTGAGGCTCCTGCAACATCTGCCGATGTTGATGGTGATGGTTGAGGAAACAATGTAAAAAACGAGCGAGAAAAGACATGGGGTGTGTTGGTCAAGACGGTGAGGCAGACACAACTGTCTGGTTGCGCTCTAAACTACCTCCTCACACTCTGGAAATAGAGCAGAAAGAAAAACAGATTCACGGAGAGAGAGCGGGGTTATCCTCATCGTGAACGGCCGTATGCATACAATGAGTCATGAGGCGCAGGCATCCCTTCTGAGCAAGCACCAGCGCCATGTACGTCAAACCGTCTGACCGATCACCCTGGCGAATCAACCGTACCAATGGCGAAGATACGTACCGCCGCTACCCGTGTTCAGTGTTCCAACGCAGGCCTTGCCATACCGCCAACCTTGCAGTGACGGTCATATCATGACGCCAACCGTGGAAGTATAGGTACCGAGAGGCGTAATCATTCCACCATAAAGGCGTTGTCATGACGCCAGCCGTGGTACTGTTCAAGAGAGGCGCACATCACACCGCCAACCGTGGCAGTGTTCCAACAGAGGCGTTATCGCGCTTCCCATGTATCGAGGGCAGCTCCGACCGACTTGACTGCTCTCCGACGCTCAAGCCCGATCGATATACGTCGGGGAATAACAAGCTTACCTATTATAGTTATGTTGAGGGGAGACACGTAATTGACTCGGCACAATCGATACCACGTACCTGGCGGATGGTGTTGAGCACGTAGGTGACGTTGAGCGTCGGCCCCCAGTTCTCGTTGAGGATGTCCGAGCAAATCTCCCCCGAGTCTGTCTTCACGTTGGGGTGGTAGATGCGCGTCACAAACCTCACCTGCGGTTGGGTTTTCCCAAGCACACGAGGAGGGGGAGGGGTGGGTGGGGGCTCCGTAATTCGCGTAAGAGAACTCTCCTAACGACACCGCCCCGGGTGCAGCAACGCGCAGATATCGACTGCTGTAAGTGTGCAGGACACTCAAAGACGTCCAATAAATATGGCGTTCCTCGTCCTGGGTGCCTTGAAAGGGTACACATTGACGTTGAAGAAGACATTCATTTCCTAACCTCGGGTACTTCGAAAGCGTACATATTGCTATTCAATGACGCGTCCCTTTCCTCACCCTGGGTTCCTTGAAAGGGTACACATCGACATCAAAGAATACGTTCATTTCCTAACCTAGGGTGCTTCGAAAGCGTACACAACGGTATTCAATAAATCGTTCCGTTCCTTACCCTTGGTGCCGCGAAAAGGTAAACAATGACACCACATAAGGGGTTTCATTAGAAAAGGTGTTCCTCTCCTTACCTTGGGTGCTTTGAAAGGGTACTCTGCCGGGAACTCGATCTCCAGGTTGAAGCAACCTCCGCCGAAGGGCGTGTCATCCTTTATTACACGACACCGCACACACACGCCCCACAGCGATACCCACCCACCCAAACACACACACGCGCGCGGTCAGAAACGTGCCTCTTTGCGTCTTTCGGCGTCATGCAAAGACAGGCTCTATGCATAGAAAGGTCGTGTTTTCTTTCCTTGGTGAGTCAGGTAAAGCGGCCGGCGTAACGAGTGTCACAACTTCGGGGATGAACGCCTCTCGCAAGAAATATGCAACGCCTTCGACGGCCGTATCGTGGAAGCCGTCGAGGTATCGGAGGCATCGCCCGTCCCCGTGTATCAGGTATCAGGAAGGCGTTTTTTTTATTTCTTTTTCATCGCTTGAAGCGACGTCTGTTAAAAAAACTCCCTGACGGCTGTAGACGAAAGACCGCACTCGGTTAACTCGTGTTCAAATCATGGGAGGTTCGGTTCTCTATCGTACAGATCAGCACGAACATCTTGGGACGCTCTTACTCGGTAGTTTGGCGTTACTCGTTAGAGATCAGAATCGCCTTCTTCACGGTAAAGGCAACAACAACAACAACAAACAACAACAACAACAACAACAATGACAGCATCAACCAAACCAACCAAGCTAGCAGCAACAACAAAAACGACGGAAAAACTACAGCACAAACAGTAACGGCAATAGAGCCAGACAACAACAACAACAACAACAACACGAATAACGACAACATATTGGCGAGTCACAGATGTACGCACGAGAGGCAAGCTCACCGGTCCAACCAACATGGCTGTCCACCGCATGATGTCGTCATCCATGGGCTGGATGTCACACCACTCCAGTTTGTTCTTGCGGAGCTCCGCCAGCTCCTGGAAAAAACAAAACAAAAACAAAGCAAACGTAAATACACAGGTCCAGGGAAACATCTTTCACGGTGGAGGTGTTCCAGATACTGGAGGAGGCGGTTTTTTCAGACACGGGACACGGAACTAACGACGTGTTGCAGATAGCGGCAGGGCGGGGGGGGGGGGATCTCGACAAGGGAGAACCCACAGATACGGGACAGGCGTCGGGTCATGTTGACAGGTTTGGAGGTTGGAGCGCCGGCATTATCACACAAAGATAACCAACTGCTGTGATTGTGCTACTCTCAGTTATTCTTCAAAATATTTCCGATCACAACGCAGCTCGCCCGACATGAGGTATACGTACTCGAACTGCTTCGGTGGGTGCTTGTGCCGTCGTAAAGTAGGAGGTGGGAGGACGAAACGAGGCTGCACGACAGGCAGGAGTCAAGCAGAAAAAACATTTTCAATACTGGCTTAGACGCGTTTGGAAGTAGTTGCGAACACAAGCGGGGATGTGCCTTTGGCTTATCGTGTTATTTGTCGTCAAAGAGAGGGAAAGAAGGAGACATGACACCGAAAGGAGACATGAGACCGTCCGCGCCCCTGCTGTGAAAACCCGAGTTGCGAGCTGAAATTTTTACCCCAAAAGGGTTCCTGGCCCCCGCCTCCCCTCCACCGATGCTGCACGCCCGACACGTGGGTGTGAACCGAGGCTTGAGGTGCATCCCGCAGCTAACAACTGGCGGCACATTCTTCTCTCCGTGCCTCATGCTGTTTGCGCACTCCGCCCTATCGTTAATGCTTCGAGGGCGCCCGACTGCAGGCAGTAGATGGTTGGGATCGACAAACACCCAGCACCAAGACAGCGTGCGTGCTATTTAATCGTTGGCATGCGTGTCCGTGCATTGGTGAAATTAAACACGTGAGCGAAGCCTCTAGCCCAGTGGACCACTTGCCCAAAGACGCTCTTCGCTTGTATGTGTATGTATAGTAGAAGTACATCCGAGCTTGGTGTTCTTGGGCATGGGGTGCTTGTTTTGTGCGAAAAAGGAAAGCCAGAAACTTCCAGTAATTCAATCTCTGGGAAAAATTCGAATTAGAAAAAAAAAAAAAACTATGCAAGTGCACCGACATCGCCCTACGAGACGATGCTTTCACAAATACTGCCGCACCTGTACGTACCTGGTGAAAGGTTAAGGTTTACAAGAAGCCGACCCAGGGTAAGCGGTGATCCACATATGCATGCATGTTTGAGGAGCCGTAAACCTGCTGTTCGTATGCATATACGGTAGAACTATACATGCACGCGGATGGTCTACAATACACAGCAGCATCTCTTGGAGAACATGATGCATAAAACCGCTCGAACAATCTTTTAGGCAGTGTATGCATAGCAGGGCAGTACAAGTAGTCTTCCATCTCTGTGTACCTTATGATGTGCAAGTTCGACATATCTACACCTGCCCCATCGCCGTTGACAGTCAACTTGCGCTGGACGTCACTGCGATTCTCCAAGCAAGGACGTCGCTGAGACTCACACTTCTCCTTGTTTGGCGCCTACAGAAAAAGTGGCCTTAGGTGCTCTAAATGCGATGGTTTGATGTGAGAGAAGGGTGGACCTCCAACACTCAACCTACATGTAAATTTACTTCCTAAAACAAACAAAATAAATTGAAGTGGGCCCGTACCAAAGGGCAGTTTCTGAATATTACCCGTCGTCGTACAAGACACGTTGTGCTATGTACAGCAGTACACGTGGTTGGCAAGGGCTCATCTCATCTCTCTAGTACTCTACGCGTAGTATAGGGTAGTCAGAAGGTCGTCTGATTCCAACTTCTCTTCTGGGTAAAACCTTCACGCCCTGCAGTCGCGTGGACCTGGTGATGGGATAAATATATAAAAAGCTCCACCTGATCCCCCCCCGGGGAATTTGCTGGCATCAGTGTTCGGTTTACATGCGGAAGATTCGCTGGGTACACAACGCCATCGGCCGAATACAGGCAGCGACGCGATGTAGCAGAGAGTGGTAGCAACGAGTGGGCTTGGAAAGCGATGATGGCTTGAGAGCTTCTTCGAAAGAAGGCTGCTGTTTGTTTGCTCCGCGATTCGACACCGAACGTTCCCAGCACGCGGAGTGTTTTTTAAAGACCGCCGGGCACACCCGACCACCGCTCCATCAAAATAACCAGCCCTACGGGGCCCTGGATGCCGCCAACGACGAATACCTAACCGGAGCGGGGGGGCTTGACGGCAACACAGAGTGCCCTACACACCTTCTGTAGTCGCCGAGCCATGACTCTTCGCCGTTCCCCAAGTTATTCGGCGGATGCTTCTGTCTCCCTCCCTCCAAAGGCGCAAGCGAAAGAGGCAGCAGCGGTTTCAGCGAACCGTAAAACTCCCCAGCGATAACGGGCACGAGAACTACACACGCTTTCCGCTGGATTGTTGAGGTTGTACAGTGCGTGGTGGGAGGTGTCCGGGGTGTCGTTCCTGACGCTCTATCTACGGTAGCTTCTCGAAATCAACAAATAGGCAAAGGGGGCTCGCAGATGGGCAATCCACGTACCGCCGACCTACAACAGAAACGGATGCCCCTACATGTGTATGTGGCCGCTCCACAACACTGCTTGCACTTCGCTTCACGTCATACGTGGGGGACCGACAGCAAGTGGCTACGTGAATGTAAGCATACGGAGCAAAATTGTCACACTTTGTCGATATATATATAGGTTGCACAAGGCGTACCTCGTCGGCGGTGTACCCGCTACTACTGTATCTCATGCTGTACACTGTACACTACTTCGCACGTTCCGCTGACTTCTGACAGCATCTACGGCGGTAGACCACATGTACACATGATACACTACAGCAGGAACATGTGTCATGTCAGACTACTATTGTGTACAACATTCGGGTCGAGACTGAGTTTCTTAATTCGTCATCACCGTGAGCGCAGACTACACCATGCAGGCAGGATGTACATAGGCCATCTGCCGCTGTTTTAAAAATAAAAAATAATAGTTTCGTGGCAAGCCGCGGTGTGTGCCAGGACCAGGAGTGTCAGTGGTGACAAGCACGGTGACCGAGAATGGGATGGCAAGGATAATGAGTACAATGCGGCCAATGTGGTACTTCGAAGTAATGGTCAGTTTCAGAATGGGATTTGCTGAACTGATTAACTTCGAAGTTCAGCAAACCTTGTTTCCTTTCGTTCACGGCATGCAACGTGTTGATCAGGCCAAATCTGCCAACAAAGAAGGACGGAATGGTGAACGTCCTTTCAACAACAGGAAGATGTGCGCTCTTCGAGGCTGCGCTAAGCGACCGCCAGGCGGGCGGCGTGTGGCTTGGCCGCTAGCACGGAGAGGAAGTTCTTCTCGAAACACGACAAGGGTGAGGAGTGATAAATCTTGCCCTTCGCGGTGTGGTCACACAGGCCGTACCAAGCATTGGGCGTGTGCCGCGGCCAGCAGCAACATACCAAAGTTAATTCTGGGTCGGACATGAGAAGGGCGGGATGGTGGACGCCGTCAACAAGAGGTGTGCTCATCCAGCCTGCGCCAAGCAGCGGGCGTATGGCTCGTGGCCGCCAGCAAGGAGCTACTGGGATGTAAACACAAGAAGGATGGAATGAGAACTCTCGCACAAGAGGTTGCCCTCAACGACGCTGCGCCAAGCAACCGGCGGTTGGCTTGGCCACCAGCGAGGAGAAGGTGATGAGCTCGTCACACACAACAGATGGTGAACATCCATCCGTAGGACAGCGTGCCTGGGCCGGTGGAAGAACTTATGGTCGATCAACCTCACTGCCGACAAGAACACCCGCCCTAGCGGCGACAGCTGGACTGACGGCCGGTCTGGGCGAGAACAATCTAGCCGTGGGTGGAAGATGGCATATCCTCCAGTGTGTTTGTCTGTTAGCGGAGCAGTCCTCCTTGTTCACCCTCGTAGATAAAGCCTTCCTCGGAGAGGGGAAGGGGGAACCATCAGCCACCTCCCCAACCCCCCTCCCCCCGCTAGTAGCTCCGCACCGAATAAGATCAGAAGAGGAGACCCGCTCTCCCTGGAAAGTTACTTTACTTTCGGCGAAACACGGCACTCACTGCGGGTATACATCGGCCCACGGTGTTTTCGAAGACGGGCCCCGCGTGACCTTCCGGAATCGCAGCGCTCGAGGCAGTGAACAGGAGGAGGAAGTGAACGTGCCATGCCGCGGAACATTGTCCACGTCCGGAGTTGCGGAGGCCCCCACTTGGAAACCTCTTCTACAATCGAGGGGCATGCTAGTGATATGGAGGTGGGTCGAATCCAAGGGCGCACACTGCGGTGTCTGCTGCCGATGCTCTTTTTGGCACAAAGGTGAGTTTCAAGCGTGATGAGCTCTATTCCCAGCCGCTTTTGCGAGTGAGGTGACCGCTCGTTCTGCGGCATGCGCGTCTTGCCTTTTGTTCTGCCCAAGCGTGCCGTGTAGCCAGAACTTTCACCAGGAACTGCTATACTGGAGGTGCATGTAGCCCCAACGACTAAACGCGAAAATGAATGTGAATGCCTCTGCAAAGGGTAACCAGTGTCCGAAGCGGAACTATCGAGTTGCGGTTTTCAAGCGGCTGTGCAGGAAATCACAGAGCTATTAGAACAGTGAACTTGCGTAGCCCGCGATCGTGTTGTAGCACATGCCAGACCGCCGCTGTTCTCAAGCCAAAACGTCCTTCCTATTGCTGTGCGTGCACGGTGCACTGATTTCAACCAGACGGACTCTTATGGATTGATCGCCGGGGCGGCTAGGAGATGCGAAAGAGAGAAACATAGTGAGTATGGGCGACGCTAGCATCGGCACGGTGCTCGTGGATGGCAGCACCTACCTACCGCTCGCTGTGACTCAGCGTTGGTGCAATGTACCCTGAGCATGATTAATCCTTGGATGTATCGAGCGTTTTTTGTTCGGTAGTCAGTGTGTCCTCGCGGGTTTGATTTTATGACGCAAAGAGATCTGGGTGCCATTAGATTGTACAGGACCAGTGATTTTTGTTGTGAGCAAATCATAGCATTTACATTTGATGGTCTCAAGAACGGAATGCTCGTGCAGTGCTTGCTGGCTTTGTTGGCGCCGTATGCCCCCAACACTTGCGATTTTGGCTCAAAAGGTGTGGCATGCCCTTTGTTCTGGACGTCGATTTTGCAGTTTTGCACCTCTTCGGGATATGCTCCGACGACATCTTTCGGAAGCTATTTAGCTTGGTGTGTATGGAGGGGGAGGGGAGCAGAGAGAGAGAGAGAGAGAGAGAGAGAGAGAGAGAGAACGGGCTGTTCCAAGCACCCTGTTCTCACCAAGATTAGGAGTTCCTGTTGTGAGTCGACCTGTACACAAAGGAAGTGACGTGGGGGCAAACGTACACATTGGGGGGCGAACGGCAACTAACCGAAAACAACTCACGAGGTTGTTGGTGGGTGGGAAAGATGGGGCTTCGTATCTCTCTTGCAGCACACCTAGTGGCTGTCAGGAGGGACGGCAAAAAGTGGTTCGAAAACAAAACGCGAAGGACGTTTTCTGGTCCATATAGGACTAGACAACTGTCCTATACTGTACTTGCTTCATTTGTGGTGTGAACACGTGAGTACACCGTTCACATCATGCGTCGCCGCTTTCATGGCACCATGCCTAAAATCACTGGCTAATTGTTACCCGCGGCTGAAACCTCCAAGCGGCGCGCATTCCAGATGTAAGAAAATGGTTGTTGATGGTGTCACCAGCAAGGCCGCTTCAGTTGAGGCCTGGGCAACAACCTGTCCTCCACAAGTCCCTCTAAAAATGACAGGAAATTGCGCGGAAAACGCCATCTAGATAGCAACCCAGTGTGGTCATCCCGCCATACCATGCAAGTTTTGCGATGGGTTCTGGACAACGAACGAACCGGGTACCGGCCGGTGGCCGGCGGTGGCCGGCGGTGGCAAGACCCAAATCACGCTTCTTCTTACGAGCTGAAATCGATCATTCGTAACATCATTAGCCGTTTCACGTTGATTCCCTCCGTCGTTCGCATGGATAACCAACCCCTTTATAAATACAGACCGAATGAAACGCGACACTGGCATACTTGATGCGCACGCAGCCATCACCAACACAAGCTTAGGGTATTTTCACCGTTACGACTAACAGTCACTTTCAAATGGTTGGCCGAAAGACGCAAGACAAAAAGGTGCGAAAGCAGAGGGAATTTTTTGTGCCCGCCCCAGCGGAATCAACGTCAGCAATACATAGCGAAAAAAACTGCTGTAAACATTTTATCTACTGACATCTTGAACACTGCCACAAGCACTAAGACACTCGGACACGGCACCGAAGCTGCCAAGGAGAAGCTGTTTTTCCTCAACCATGACAACGGTACTTCTATTGATAAATATTGAACACTGCATGTCCTCGTCCCACATCAGCAACTGGCCAAAATCTTCCTTGCCCCTAAATACTGCCTCCGGAACTAGTCCAATGCTACAATGAAGACCTGCCGGTTTCATCTCATCACCTCCTTCTCTTTCCTATAGGCGTGAAATTGGGGTTATCGGGGTCCATAGCAGCCGCCCGAGCTTTCCACCGCTCCATCTTCTCTTGTTTCTCTGCCTCCTTCTCGGCCTCCTCGCCGGCAGTCGACGCCACAGCCTTCCACTTGTCGATCAAGTTCGCAGCACCTTTGCGCTTCTTCCCTATAGACCCTCCGGATTTTCCGGTCGCTGACGACCCCTTGCTCTTCCTTTTCTTGGTCGACTTGGGTGCGGGAGGAGGAACTGCCGTCGGGGGAGCCGTCAGCACGGCTGCCGCCGCCTTGCTGCCGGCAGCCTCAGCCTCCTCCGTCGCCGCCACCGCCGCCGCCGCCGCCGCGTCCATTTCCGCGTTCTCCATCGCCGCTTCCGCTTCTGCGAGAGCGGCGGCCTGCGCAGCTGCAGCGGCGGCGGCGGCTTCCTCCGCGGCTACGACCGCAGGGTCTGGGGGAGGGTCGTCAAAGTACTCGTCGGGCACGTCGAACAACTTTTGCTCATCGTCTTCGCCCGAAAACCTCAGGAATAGGCCGTAGCCCGGGGCGGAAGCAGTGCAGCTTACCCAGTCCATCCTCGCGGCCGCGACGGGATCAGCCACACCTTGGCCGAGCGCTGCCACTGCCGCCGTAGCCCATTCCGGGCCCCGCTCCAGCGTCGTCATGTAGTAGCCCCCGCCAAGGTTCCGGTACCGGCGAGGTCCGTACCCGCCAAGAAGACCCGACAGCGACACGCCGTTCCAAACGTCCCCGGCATCCGACCACCAAACTAGCGTGCACGGCCGCAAGTCCACCACGGAAGTGGTGGGAGCTTCAGCCGCGGCAGCAGAGGCCGCCGGCGTTGCTGCCGTGGCGACATCCTCTTCGGTGGCGGAGTGGGCCTTTGGTGCATCGGCGGTCACCGGTGAGGGAGACCGACGCTGCCCCGCTGGTGTCGACGCGCTCTCGGCATTGGGAGAGGCAGTGGATGGCTCGGGAGATGGCGACCGCTGTTGAGCGCCACCAGGTGTGGCGGCTTCTACCGCAGCAGAGCTCTTTCGTTTCTTCTGCTGCTTTTGCTTCTTGTCGCCCGAAGGCCGAGGAGAAGGCGTGGCAAGAGTCGAGTCATCAGCGGCGGCCGAGGCGGCGGCGGCGGCGGCGGCGGCGGCGGCGGCGGGAACACTCGCGGCAGCGGGAGGATCCCACGAAGTCTCGTCGGTGACGGTATCGTGGTAGTAGAACGCCTGGTGGTTGTCGTCCCAGACGGGTACCCAGGTGCTGCGGAACACCCGACGCGTGTGTGCCCATGAAGATTTTTTTCGGTGTGGTCGGGGAGCACGAGAGGAATGACAACCGTGGCAACGACAGACGGAGGAATAGGGCGGAGGGAAGCGAGGGGATGGGGGGGGGAGGGCGATAGAAAGTCAGCCATAGAAGGTCTGGCGTACGTGGAGTGGCGCACAGCGCTCACTGAAATGCTCCCCCGACCTGCTTGACCACTCACCTGTTGTCGATCCTTGAGCGCGCGGGAGAGAGAGCGTTTTGCCAATGCGCAAGCACAGATCTTTTTCTGCCGGAGAGCGGCGTGGGGCTGTTGCGGACAACAACTGATAAACAAGATAGTGCTGCCCGAGGGAAGCCAGAGGTCGACTCTTCACATCACGAAGCTGAGGGGCATCAGCCGATCATTTTCGAAGAGGGTCGGTCATCCTTCGTAGACTTGACTGAGCCGGTAATCGAACGAACGCCTCGTTCGTCCGCACCGTACCCGTGACAGACGTCCAATCGAAAGCTATCCAAGACTTGACGTCTTGGCCGTGGTGGCACGTGGCCACGACGTAGGCAAGGCTTGCGTGGGGTAGTCATGAGTGGTCGCCTACAGCATCACCCTCCTAACAGGTGGAGACACATCTCCCCAGTGCCTCTCTTGGGTGCGCTGCGATGGTCACATGCACGAACGATCGCCACGTTTCAGACCGTTGCCGCCTTCGAAGAGTCCCGCTTCATCACCCTCGACGGCGGTTGGCCCTTCCCAGCGCCCTGCTCCGTAACGCCCGCTTATGCCACGAAAAGTAGAGATGACGCGCGTTGGGGGGCGGGGGGCGGGGAGGGACATGCCATGCGACCACCAAACATATGCAAACTCCGTCCGCAAGCAACAGCAACCGATAAGGCAACGATGCAAGAGTGACGTCCGTGACGTCATACTTGAAACAAACAGCAGTAGTCGAACGCACGTGACCTGAAGACACTTCCCTCCCATTGTTCACCCACCGCACGCGGCGCGATCGGGAAGCTGTTCCCTCCAACCCAACAGCAAACTACTCGTACCTCGAGAGGGATTCTGGTATGCTCGCCGAGTCGCCCTCCTTAGCCGCAGCATCTGTCGACGCCGCCGGTGCAGGCTTCTCGTCCTGCGATGCTTCAGATGAAGCAGCACCAGACGCGACATCTCTCCTTCTGGAGGATCGTTTTTCGAGTTTCGTTTCGACGCTTTTCCCCGCAGAATTGCTTGCAGCCGATGCCTCGGCTCGCTCGCTGCCTCCTTCGTCTCCCGGTGACCCTCGTCGGCGCGACCGGTTACTCGATTCAGACCGTCGTTCACCTCCCCCGGTGCTAGCGTCGCCTTCGTCAGCCTTGGACTTCTTACTCTCGCGAGGACGCTCGTCCCGTTCCGGCGACGACTTTTCAGGCTTGCTGTCCGCTGGGTGTGATTCGGCAACCGTAGCCGGTAGCACCCAAGAGGTCTCGTCGGTGGTAAGGTTGTGGTAGTAGTAGGCTTGATGTGTTGTGTCAAACACGGCCGACCACCCACTGAGAATCGCGGGCGGCGAACGCGTGGGTGTCGTCGGGAGGGAAAGCACAGGGCGAGGGGTGGGGATGGTGGCGCTAAGCACAACGACATGAGATGTTTGACGAAAACTGAGACAGAAACGCAGGCCCCAGACAAGAAACACAAGGGAGTCGCGTATTGCGATTGGTGTTTGGCACGATACCGCCGCCACGCCCAACCACCGCCCATACGCACCAATTTAGCCAAGAGTACAAGAAACACCAAAACGGAGACAACTCGAGACTGGACGGAGACAAAGAGAGGCAACACCAGGCAAAACGTTTGACGCGTATTCCGCAACCAAGGAGACCAACACCGCCGTGAAACCGCATCATCGACCAGACCAGAACAAGCCAGACCAAACGCACCTTGGAACATCGGGAAGTGTAGGGTCCTTCGCGATCACGATCCCCGATTCGCTCGTGTCCGGTGCTGGCACCGACGGCGCATCATCCTTCGCCCCCGACGTCGCCGCCCCTCCCTCTGTCGCAGCGGGTACGACAGTCACCTCGCCATCTTCCTTCCCCTCATTATCATCATCGTCATCATCATCGTCACCGACCCCCCCCAAGTCAATAGTGCCTTCTACGATTGCCCTCGCGGTAGCAAGCGTATCTGTTGACGTGGCATTCTTCCTCTTGTCACTGGTAGCATCGTCACCCGAAGCAGCGTGTTTTCCGCGCCGGTCGCTGTTGGAACCTTCCGAGTCGGTAACCCCCTCCTCGACGGTCCCGATGACAGCAACTTTCGCCTCCGACTCTGCCTTCGCGAGCTCTTTTTTAGCTTGAGCATGTGCGGCTGCGGCGGCGACTGCAGCAGACGCCGCCGCAGATACTTCGTCCGCCCACTTGAGCTTCTCAGCGTTCCTTGCCGCTCTCACGGCCTCGGCATCAGCATCAGTACCAGAAGCGGTCGAAGAAGAGGCGTTATCGTCAGCAGCGTGGGATGCCGGTACACCCTCCGCCGCGCCGTCGTCGACACTACTGGTCGAAACTGCCTCCCCATTGTCCACGGAAGCCGCCTTGGTGGCCGCCCCTCGAACACGCGGCCGCTTTTTAGAACGGCCCTTCGGCTTCTTGCCGTCCGAAACTGCTGCTGCATCTCGCTCTGTGGCATCGCCTGGCGGGGGATCCACCACGTCTGGGAGGCTGCCCGCTGAAGAAACGGCGCCGTTCGCACCTGGGGTGATGACATCAACGGAAGCGGCGAGCTCCGGCCGAGTCTGACTTTGAGACTGTCCGGTCGCCGCTGGTGCTGTGGCGCAAGAAGACGGACCGAGGGCTGAACGAGCCTCCACCGCCATCTCCTCGAGCTTGAGAACGAAGAAGGTGCCGTCAAGGCCGCCTGCACCGTTCGCATATCCGTGGGATTGACAAGGGACGCGAGCGAAAGGAAAACGATTGAGAGACATGAGGACATTGGCTATCGTAGCAGATGAAGAGGCAAGAACAACCGGAAACTGCAAGGGGGGGTTCCCACAATCTAGTGAGCACCATCAACTCGCGAGCAGGTTGAGTATCTGAGGAGTTCATTCTCAAAAGGTGGCGTGGTCAATATACTGGAGCAAGTTGTTGACGGAAGGAATAGTACAAAGTGTGAATCAATTACATGGGAAGACTCTTTTTTTGACTGCTGTATTTCGTGACCACCCCGTTTCCAACAAACCTCAATTCCATCCATGCACTCGCCTTGTCTCCAGTCTGATAAGCGAGCACGAAGCACAGCGGCAAGCTCGATGCCCAACCTCACCGACGGGTCGGTGGCTTCAACAACAGACAACCCCGCCTCCTCTCCCTTCCCTTCGGCCGCCACCGCGAGCAAGGCGGCAAGCTCGGCGTGAGCCTCTTGCGCCCGCACGTCGAGACCGGGCGCCACCTCCTGCAGCGGCGCGAAGTCCTCTTCCTCTCCCGTTGCCCTTGTGTCACCGTTCTCTTCGACTGCGCTGCCCTTTACCTCGTCTTTGTCGCCGTCAAGGTCACCCTCGCCGTCGCCGGCGCCGAGCAAAAGCTCCGCCTCGATGCCCGCGAGGAGATCGTCGATGCCCGCCGTTGCAGCAACGGGGACGTCAGAGCTGCCAGTGCCCGTGGATTTACTTTGCTGCGGGAGTTCTTCTTCCCCTTTCTGCTCCTCTCCCACGGCTGCCATCCTTCGATCTTGGGCGGCAGGCCGGTCCGTGGCTGAGCGTGGGGATCGCTTTGGAATGGCACTGTCCGCGACTTCTTGCTCGCCGCTAACTGCGCCTTTCTCTACCTCCTCGGTATCAACGCATACCTCGGACACAGCAGCAGCAGCGGCAGCAGCGACACCAGAGCTATTGGTGCTTGCACGACTCGCGCCCTCATCTTCTGTTGCTACTGCTACCGCCACCGCTTTGTCCTCTTCAGCCTCGCTGGCCGTGTCGCTCGTGGCATCGCTGCCCGCCGGCGCTTCTCGGCTAGCAGCATCAGCGACGGCTTCAGGGACGATCGGCGGTGCTTCAGACGGCGTATCAACAGCGCTGCTCGCCTTCGAAACCTTTCTCTCCGTGCCCTCTGGCGGGTCCCACGACGTATCGCCGGTCTCGGTGTTCCAGAAGTACACCAGGCCGGCGTTGTCCATGCACTGCTGCCAGCCGGTCGGGAGCGTGTACGTTACACTCTCTGCAGGCGATGGGTCCGGAGTGGAGACGGACGATGCCGATGCCGGCTGTTGCGCTGGAGGCTCCTCTTCCTCGGAGTCCGACCCGTAGTGAAGGAGGCCCATCAACGGATTCTTACCTCCCGTGTCTCCTTTAGGCGCCGCCGCCGCCGCCGCCGCCGCCGGTTCGCCCGCTGCCGCAGCCGGTACCTTGCCCTCAGAGGCTGCTGCTGCTGAGGACGATGGAGAGGGGATCCCGGCTACGCCGCCTACAGCGCCATCGCTAGGTGGAGCGGCGCGACGCACTGGGCGACGCCCCATTGGTATATATTTCAAGTCTCTTGTGCGTGCGCCCGTCCGCTATAGGGGCGTGTGTTGCTCAGTGTTGGTGTCGAAGCGGGTCTGGAGTTTGTCGCCCCGGTGTCGAGCGGAGCATTGGCGGCTCCGCACGTACATTCGGACGGTTGATTGTGATTCCCAGCTGCGGGCCTCCATTTCGGACCCTCAAGGAAATCGCCGCACCCACATCTCTGCTCTCTGCTGGCCATCGACTGTCCAGCTCTCTCCCTCGCTCCGCTTGCTGTGTTCGACGAGGTATCTTGCTGATCGATAATAAGACGGTGTGCTTGGATAGAAGCTACCTGCAACTGAGCGAGCTTTGGAGCGGCCCAGAACGCCTGTTTCCAACAGCAGCAATAACCAGCAGCAGCAGCAGCAGCAGCAGCAGCAGCAGCAGCAGCAGCAGCAGCAGCAGCAGGCTTCGCAGCCACAGCAACGTTCCGGCAAGCGGTCTGGTTTAACAGGGTAAGACAGGCGTCCTACGCAGGAATACCTCGTGGCGTTTGGTGGTCGAGTTCTCTCGAGTACGCACTTGGGTCTGTCGAGTTTGCAGGTCTGTTGCCTGTGAGTGGTTGAGCGTGGTGCAGCTGCTGTATCATCGTATTTTGGTTATCGCGCCGCCTCAGCGCCCCGAGTCATCGTCATCAGCAAGCAAATCTGTATCCACGAGAACCCCGCACCCCTTTGGCACAACCACCACCGCGCCTGATACTGCTGTCAAGGATTTGTGTGCGAATTCGTCCCACGTGCGCCCTCTGCGTGCACCTTGCTACCCATGGTGCTGCAGCTGGGCAGCGCCCCCCCCCTCCCCAAGTCATCAGTTCTTCGGGAGAGGCGGCGTTGATTGATGATGCAGGTTTGGTTTTGAGTCTGCAATCAATCTCCCGCTGCCAGCAGTGCCGCCTTATTCTCGGTATATTGTATCTACACAAGTGCAACAAAAACCCGCGAAGGTGCACAACATGTTGCCTTGCGCATGGATTACTACGCCCGCACAGATTATGGAGGTGCTGTGGGCACGCATCGGCCATTTACAACGTCGCATCGGCAGACGAGAGCAGCCTTTGCTTCACGGTTCTTTATTCGTACGTTTGAACGGTGCCCCCAGGGGGCTGGGTCTGCTGGGAACTACTGCTGTAGAAAGCTCGACCGAAGTTCATGCAGATGCAACAAAAAAGCGGCGTTTTTCCTCTTTCGGCCAGCCACGCAGTTTCAATGCTGCTGCCGCGCTGTGTTCCCGGCCCCCTTTTCCTTTGTCAAAACCAGTTTGCAGCACCCGTGTGCTCCACTAGATATCGGTGGCAGAAACCCAGCGGCCGCGGTCACAGATTACTCACGACCTATGCGTGCAACTGCTAGCTGTGTTTGACACACAGCGTGTGTTTGGCAGTCATGCAACGGGACAAATGAGGTGGTGCCGGCCTATTTAGGAGAGAGCTAGCGGTGTTGTGTGCGGTGGGTAGCTTGCTGCACAAGTGCTGATGTTGCGGAAAACGTGAAACTTCCACGGACGGTTCATTTGTACTTCTGTAACACGAATCTCCCTTTTTTTGTTCGGCGGCGTAACCGCAGTGTGTACCGCCGTGAGCTGTGAGAGTGATCGCACGCCACCCACCCCCCCTATTAACAGTCGTTCACAGCTTGGCGATTTCTCCAGTCCAGAAGGATGCCTCCAGTTCCGGGAAAGTATTGGTTTTGGGGAAAAATGCGCCGATAGAGCTTTGCTTCGACACATTGGCCGGTCCGCGCCCCTCTTGGTTGTGAAGTACACTAGCAACGGAGCTTGAACGGGGGGGGGCTCCCCTTCGCCCGCAACATCACGGTTGCCATGTGCCGTGCTTTCATTCCATTTTTCCAGTCATGAAACCCGCCGGCCCTCGTACCTCGTGCCGAGAATGAAACTGCCGCTTGGTTCACCATGATCGGTGTAGTCCTCCTCCTGTAAGTCTACGGCATGCCAGACTCGGAGAAGCGCCACGCCCCACCACTCAACACAAAAAGCGTGAGAACTGCAGCTGTTGCTGCCGTCAGGTAGCCTGCCTCCCGGGGGTACGAATCCGTTCAAGCCCAAGACCGCCGTTCTGTCTCGATCTGCGGATCTGTGTACCGTCCACATACCGCTTTGCTCCCCTCTCCTGCGTTCTTAGGGTAACAACCGTGGTATTCTAGGCCATTCTTCAATATTTGCCTTCCGCCTTCCTTCTTTGAATACTAACGGCCCGTGTGCTCGTATTCTCAGCAGTATTCCGAAACAGGTCCTTAAGGGGGGAAGAACAGGGGTTTTGACGCTGGCTCTTTTCCCATACTTTGATCCTAGACAAAGAGAGAAAACAACCTTCCCGCCAGGGTTAGGTTAGGCATTGTATTGTCATCGGTAGAGGACACCATTAAGAGGCGTCGTGAAATGTATGTTTTGAGCAGCCTCTACTGCCGCCCTGTGCGAGAATCAACGATTGCTGTTTTTCGCGATGCCTTCCGATTGGTCTTGTGTGTCTTTTGTACAATTTCTGGACCTCTTGCGTTTGCTTTCAAAGTTCGTCAACATCAAAATTGCTCTTCTTCCCCCCCTTAACGTCGTCCGACGTTTTCAAGGTGTCCGTGTTCGCGGAGGGGTTGTGCGATTCACTGTGATGTGCGTTGTGTTTTGTTGTGTTTTGTTGTGTTTTGTTGTGTTTTGTTGTGTTTTGTTGTGTTTTGTTGTGTTTTGTTGTGCTTTGTTGTGTTTTGTTGTGTTTTGTTGTGTTTTGTTGTGTTTTGTTGTTCTTTGTTGTGTTTTGTTGAGATGGTTGAGTGAAGAACGTAAGCGTCCTTTGTCCAACACGAAGTATATGTTACACCGCGATGTGTCTTGTTCAGCAGAACAGGGTTGGTTATCTGCTGTTCGGCCACCCGGTCTTGATGATGGTGCAATAATCCGCCTCTAAGCGCGGAACATCTCCGCCACAAATTCTTGTAGCTGACCAGGATGCCACTACAGCAGTAGGTGCTGTTCCGCACGTCCTTACAGTATGTTCCGTGTTCCGTGTTGTGGCTTCATTTCCCAGCACCATTGCCAGAATAGCACTGTGTTCCGTTCATTCTAGTCGGCATGGTATTTCCAGCCAATGTTATCTGGGTCTAGGCCAGCACGAAGAAGATATGTTTTGCCAGCGGGGATGAGCACGTGTCACGCATTTCGACTGCCGTAGTCGCGCGAGTAATCGCACCGCCCCTTGCACTGACTGTTCACTGCCCGATTGCCCCACGACTGCACTGTCACGTAAGACGGCGCGAATAGTACAGTACTCTTTCCGAAAACACCCTTTTCAACATTGGTGCCCTCTCGGTTGTGTGAGATAGTAGGGCTATGGGAGTCTGCCTGGGGGGAGGGTGCGATCACTCGCACGTTTTACGTACCGCTGCAATCATCTTGTTTTCTTCCCCTCCCAGAGAATGAATGAAACTCTCACACAGAAACAAAGATATCCCGGGCTCTTCCGTCTGTGGATAGAGATGAAATCGTGACAGCGCATCAGCGAGAAAAAGTACAGTTACAGTAACAACAATTGTCAACAGGCTGTGCGTAGCCATTCTGACCCCCTGCATACCCCCTATTTTTCGGCAGCTTCTGGCCGAGTGACGTTGGACTGCTGTATACAATCGTGAGAATCCAATGACCAACCACGGTTGCCTACCTCCTCCCACCCCCCACCCCCCTACGACGTGCCCAATGACCACAACAGGTGTGAGATGGTCCCTGACAAGGTCGAAGTGAGTGCCGCCGGCACTACCGCCGCCGCCGCCGCCGCTGCTGCCACCGGCTCCCCTTCTCCGACGGCGGCGGGGGCGAAGGTGCCCGCAACGGCGGCGGTGGGCGATGTTGCCGCTGTTACGGCGATGACGACGGGGAAGAGCGTCGATGCTGCCGCCGACGCAGAAGACGGCGAAGCCGCCATCGACGGCAATGGGGAAGCAGCAGCAGCAGCAGCAGAACAGGAAGGGGGAGAGCAGGAGATCGCGGTGTTGTTGACGGTGCACCCGCCGCAGGCGACGCCGGCGGAGGCGGCCGCGCCGCTTGTGCTCGAGCCCCTGGGGGGCATGGAGCTCGTGATGCAGGTGTGAATGAGGTGTCGTCCCGGCTCACTCACCGGTGTAGGTTGTGCTGCTACCGCATGTCCAAACTCGGTCGTGTCGGTACATGGTGGGGGGTCTTAGGAGGTCATGAGTGCCTACACACGTCCGCATGTTGTTTCTCGGTGTGCGTGTCTTGTTGGCCCATGGTACAGTAGACCAACCCACCGATTGGAGCATATTTGCAATACAAAGTGTCGATTCCATTCTTGTTTCTTCGTGGGCTGTCTGCCTCCGGTTAAACCGTCGTGCGCCGCCGCCGCCGCCGCCTCTACAGGTAAGGCAGCTGCTGGGAGAAATCCCGCAGACATGCCTCTACTCCGCCTTCCGTCTGGTGGCGTTGACGCCCGAGCCCGAAGGGGCTGAGGACGGGGCCAGCAGCGGCGGGGGGGGGGACGCGGTCTGGAAGCGGGAGGGGGATGTGATGAACGATTTCGTGGAGCTGAGGTCGATCCCGGCCGTCGCTGCCCGCCCTGAGAATGTGGAGGTATTTTTTGCGCCGCTTGCTTTCATTGCCTCGTGATGTGATTGGTTGTTGGAGGTATTTATTGAGCCGCGTGTTTTTATTGTCTCGTTTGATGCGATTGGCTGCTGGCGTTCTGTAGCACCGGGGTTAGGTTCCTGGCACACCGCGGGTGATGAAACGATTGATGCATTTGTTTGTGTCGGAAAGTAGCGGGTTAGTCTTGCGCCGTGATTTTTGGTCGCGGGGAGGGGATGTGTCTTATTCGCTGCACGACTTTGGGTCTTGTGTACCCTTCTCGATGGAGTTCGACGCGCGAAGGAAGTTTCGATCTGAAGGAAGACAAAACAAAAACAACCAGACAGCGCTGCAGCAGTAGGGGGTCATGCAGCCTCCCTCGTGACGGCGAAGCAACCAAAATGTTGTGTGTTGATGTTTTGTTGATCTCTGCGAGAATCCCGCCTCCTCTTCTTCCCCCCCCGTTGGTATTCAGGTCCGTATGGAGCTCGAACCCTACACGGTCAGCACCGCAAGGCAGCACTTGCAGAAGTTCAGGTGCGTCAGGCACCCCCTGTTGTAACCTGCCCCTTGGCACACGGTTGAGCATGTGTTGGCTAGACAACCATGGGTTGTATGTAGATGTGTTTGATCCTTCGTCCGCACCAGTAGTTGTAGGAGTAGCGCAGCTCCTTTGGCCACACCCTGCCAGAGCTGATTAGCGCCGGCATATATGTAGGCACTGGTGCAGATCGAGAAATATTTTGTATCGGCGCACAAAATGATGGCAACTGCAACAACTCACAATACACAACCACAGCAAGGTGAACAACGCTATAATGGTACGTTGCCCGTTTGTTGTTGCTTGCTGAAGCAGGGAGCTTCTCAAGTTCCCACCACCGTGCCAGGACGGCGTGGGCCCCGGGGCCAAGAAGGGCGCCGGCGGCGGGGGCAAGAAGGGCAAGGGGAAGTCGGGGGGAGGCGGGAAAAACAAGAAATGTGTGTGTGTACGTCTGCTACAAGTAGATGCGTGTGTGGGTGTTGTTTTGCTGTAGGGTGTAAGTGTGTGCACACATGTAGCTGTTTAGATTGGTGAGAACCTGGTTTGCGCCATGGGTACGTGTATCACGTAGGTCTATCTGTGGGTCTAATCGTGCTGGTTGTGTGTTGTGGCGAGCGTCATGCTTCCTATCAGCCCTCAGAAGCCCGATTGACATGGAGGAAATTTCCTGGAAAGTTCTTCATTTCGTCACCACCCCGTCTTCAAGCGGCGTTCAGCATCAAAAACCATGGCCTTCCCGCGCAGTGCAAGACGTTTCTCGTCTCACAGGAGCACCTCATCTCTGCAAGAACACACCACAATCTATCTCCCGAGTACTGTCCAGTCTTCAGTGTGTCTGAGTTCTTTTCTTTCTATTTTAAACAGCGATTTTCTGTCTGAGTCTTGAGTTGTTTGTATTCACGAGCGCTTGTTACCCTGTGAATTCTTCTCAGTCAAGACATTGTTAATCCCTTGACCCCGTGTTTTTATCTTGTTTTTTTTTAAAGCAGCCAAAGAGAGTCCTGCCAACTCTGGTGCGACCGCTTCTAAAGCTGTCGTCGCCAAAGCTGGGGGGGAGGGGGAGGGGGAGGGAGGTGCCGCGGCAGCGGCGGGAGAGGTTGATCCGGCAGCCGAGGCCGCCGCGCAGCGCATCCAGAGGGCGCTGGACATCCGCGGGAGGCTTAAGGACAGTCGGGTGCCGGTGGTCGGTGCAGAGGTGTGTTAAGGCTGCGTTGCTGCTGCGTTTGTTGTGTTTGTGGTGCGGTTGTTGCTGGTTTCGTTGTTGTTGCCGTGAGTGCTTTTGTGATGGTCGTGGTTGTTTTGCTGTTGTAGTTGTGGCGGTGGGTGTTGTTGTTGTTGCCACTGTGGTGTTGTTGTGGTGATGCTGTCGTTGGTGTTGTGGTGGTGCTGTCGTTGGTGTTGTGGTGGTGGTGGCGGTGGTTGCTGCTGTTGTTGCCACTGTGGTGTTGGTGGTTGATGCTGTTGTCTGGTCCCATCGTGTCTCCGTTGGTTGGAAGCATGTGCATGTGGTGAGGGCGATGCCTCCCCCTGGCCATGGACGGTAACATGTCCGTCATGTCAAGTACTAAGTTGCTGCGGTGCTGAATTGCGTCTGAGATGGCTACCGGCTGTCATGCCCTCTCGTCATGGATGAAAGAGCACTCAACCAACATCTCTGACCTCCCTTCCCCCATACGGTGATACCCAAACACGCCTTGGTGGAAAACCCAGGGGCTTGGAGCGTTCTACGGTGTCGGTCTCGGTCTCGCCGTCGAGGAAGTAGCGTCTCCATCGCTGGAGGAGGGCGGCGGCAAACACAAGGGGGGCAAGGACAGGGACGGGCCAATCACGTGCGTCAAGGGGGTTTCGGTGTCTGCGTGGAACCCGCCACCTCCCCAGCGGAGACTGGTGGGCGACCTAATGTACCTGGAGGTGAGAAAAAGAGAGAAACGAGTTTTTTTTTTGTGACAAGCGAAGATGCGTACGTGAAAGAGGATATTTTCATATTTTGGAAGCATGAGCGGCCGAGTAAAACAGAAACAGCAACACCAACCACGGCGACAAGCGACAAGCGGCAACGACTAGATACAACTACAACGAAAAAAGCATCATCATTATCAGCAACATATAATAGCAATAACACAAGCAACCTTAGAACGCCACCTCTCCTTGCCAACATGAACACAGGTGGTGGCGTTGGACGGGACTGTGATCAACATCACCTGCACGCAGGGGGGCTTCTACGTGAACGGCACCAGCCGGGGAAACTTCGACCCAAGACCCATCTCCGGGAACCCTTGCCATTCCCACGAGCTCGCCGTGTGCCTCCTCGCCAGAAACCCCAGCTTCGCCAAGGTGTGTATCATACGTTGCTCTGGCCCAGGGTACTGCTTCCTGAAATAGTTCCCACAGGTGTGTGTAGGTGGTCGTGTTTTGTAAATTTAGCATCGACCGCGCCAGTCGGCTGACTAGCGAAAAGACATGAGAAGTCTCAATGCGGCTGAAAACAGAAAGAATCATCTGAAGGTCATGACATGTGTATGTGTTTGCGTGTTTCTTTCTATTTGCGCTGACGGGACCGGCTGACCAATCAATAGGCGTCAGTCTTGTGTGTCTTGTGTGGACAGAGGGGGATGCCATGATGTGGCGGGCCGGTTGGGCTGCACCGGTGTTGCTGTCACTGGACAAGGCGTGTTTCTCGTCCGGCGTTGTTACCGCCACCGCTTCCGCGTTCCGCGCTCCGTTGCCCGTACCCCTTCCCAGTCAACAAACCGTTTCTGTTTCGCGTACCGTGTTCCCGTCACAGTCACTCCTATACCGTTTCCGCATTCCGTTACCTGCCTCAATTTTCATCATGTCCCTATTTCCGTTGCCATTGATTGCCCTACCGTTGCCGAGCAGGCCTGGAACAATGCCGTGGCTCAGGCGTGGAAGCGCATCCAGTCGGACGACCCCGTCCACGCCCTGGCGAGGGCAATGCGGGAAGGGAGAGGGGACCAGGTGATGGTGAAGCCACAGTGGAACATGCCTATCCCCGGTGAGAAGAACAACGACCAAGAACGCCTCCTCCTCCTCCTGGCGCTTTTTTCAACGACCTTGTATGTTTTGTGACTTTGCTAGGATTTAGAATATATGCCAATCCTAGCGGTGGCTTTGTTAGGTTTTGGAATATACCAATCCTCGCCGAACTTTTGTTTCAAGCGTGATTTCATCGTTTTCTCCGTCAGTGCGTCATGCAAACTACAGCGGTGGGGCGTACCGAAATACCGAAATAGTTCCGTTAAATGAGGGTACGAGAAGGCACTTGACTGACGGTATCGTGCTGGCGGGACGGGGGTGGGGGGGCGATAAATTTATGTACATACAGCTTTCTTCAGTTTCCTTGCAGAAAAGCGATCCCATGTCCGGCATTCCAATCGATAATTTAGCGCTTTTCTCGGCTGCGAAGGACTGAAATTCACCGCCCATCAAGAACCTGACGCCCATTCTCCACCTCCATCATACCCTGCTGGAATGACTGCTGTCCGTTCCCGATGTTTTCATCAAACACCAGCATTCAACCACTGTCCGCACTGCTTCCCCAAATTACTTCTCAACAAACAACGGTTCTCACACCACAACAAATCTTGACCGAATGCATGCACGCGTGTTGCTCGTGAATCCTATGCGTTATCCTTGAAGATCCCAAGTGGGGAGAGCACAAGGCCGACCCTTGCCGCGCCCAAGACGACCTATCTTCCGGGTTTGGTATGGAGGACAGAGGCGTTCCCAGGGAGTGGAACGACGAGTATCAGTGCCTGCTAGAGCTCCCCAGCGGTACCGCCGAGCTGGTGAGAAATTCGGGGGGGAAACACATTCGTGTGCGAGGTTGTACGTCCGATTTGTGTGATGTTATTTTTTTTTTCGCTGAATCTAGACCTCTTGTGGTGTGTATACTTTGCATGGTTTTGGGCAGAGAGGGTTTCTTGGTCTCTCGTTGCTCGCGTTGTTTTTGGTCCATGTGGTCCTGGTGTCTCAATACATGACCGATCAAGCATTTTCGCCGGAAGTTTCTTCATGATTCCAGTGTCTTACGACAACGATTGCAGCAGTACCAGCATTCGGGTGCTGGGACCTGATCCACGAGGGTTCGCCTACCAACCCGACCAGTGTTGCTTGTGGAAGGTCTTTCAGGAGCCACCGTGTTGCTTTCATCCAAAGGACGCTGGTGGTGTCTTGCTCTTTGTCGCCACTCGTGAATGAAGACCGCTACGGTTGAAATCCGTGTTCATGTTTAGTGCAGGTTTGGTGCACTGACCCCAACGAACAATGTGTCGTTTATGTAAGCACCTGGTAGGGTCTGTCATCCATCACTTCATGATTTCCCGTGGTGTTGACTCTCTTTTTCTTAAACTTTCAACCCTGACGCTGTCGCTGTTTTTCGTTTTCTCGTCATTTTTTGGTTGCAATCCGTTGTGGTGCAGAGCATGACCCGGTCTAGGGCCCTGCACAAGCTGCTGTGCGATTTCCAGGACGCTGCCACGGCGGGGGCGGTTGCCATCAGCGATGTGAGAAGTGTGCACAGCAGTGCACAGGGGGTACATGCACGAGTAGAAAGGAAACACGTTTCTGTTGCGCTTGTGAAGAAATACAATGACAACACACATGAGGCGGAAGTGCTGGTTGCTGCAGTACGATCCAAGCCACTTGTGTCCTGTGCTTGGCTTTTGCATGAAGATCTAGTCCAAAGCTGTTTACTCTACTCGAGAACAGGCTCGACAACCACCAGCCCGAGCAAAGAAAAGCTCTTTGTCTTGACTTACCTTGAAATTGTCGTATTTTTGTTGACGCGGCAAGTAAACACTTTTTTCCCAGTTCAATGCAAAGACTCCATCCGCTTGTATACATACGGTAGTCATTCTGCGATTTTGCATATTCCTAATAGTAATGTTGTTGCTTTGGCGACGACAGGGCTTCATCCCCCCTGCAAACCCCACCGAGGCTGAGCACAGCCATGTATTCGTCTTCAACAACATCTTCTTCAGCTACGCCGCGGACAGCCCGGACGCCTACAAGGCTGTGTCGGGAGACTCGGCCGCTCGCAAGTCTGCCTCGCAGGTCTGTTTTTTTAAGTAGCATCGACCGCGCTACCCGGCTGGCCAATGAAAATACGTCAGTGTCAGTGCGGTTGAAAACACAAAATGCTTCAATAGGCCACAATCTGGGACCCTGTGATGAAGCTGTGTGTGTACCATCGAAGGCACTTGGTCTAAACCGCCACTTTTCAAGCCTCTCGGAAGCCCCAACAACAGGGGCCACACCATTTGTGAAGTCTGTCGGAAACTTTCCCCACCGTAGTAACCATCGCTCATCGAAGTCGCTTGCTTCGTCGTAACGCCACTTGTCGAGTCTCTTTGAAGCCCCCCAACCACGCCAGGGGGTACGACGGAAGACGCTTCGTATCACCATTTGTTATTTTAGGCAGTCTCTTCGACATGACAAGACTCGCATGTCTGCGTCAAAGGTATTCGGTCGTAGGCGCTTCGTAATACCATTCCCCACAGCAGTACCCCGGAAGGACACTGCATGTTATTTGTTTGCGGGCTATTTGTTAAGGTCGTACAGTAATCTTTGGCAAGCTACGGCCTCGGCCAGGTAATGGCCCTGAACAGTTTCATGCATGCCTCGAGTCCGAACGCAACGTGGTACTCTCTTCTTTTTTTTTTGCATGACTTCCTGCGGTGACTGTCTTCAGGACCTGGCTAGCGTGGTGGCCCTCAACCTTCTCGGCGAGGCCTTCCACCCACAGCTGAGCATCAAGACCCTGGCGACGGCTGTCGTGGACTTTGGCGGAAGGCGGCTGATCGCCCAGTCTCTCGTGCCCGGCATCCTCAACGTGAGTATCGTTGATGTTGTTGTTGTTGTTGTTGTTGTTGCCGTTGTTGTCATCGTTGGAACAACGGCCATTGGCCCTCTACAAGTGTGAAATAGGACCGGGTGTGCACCAAGCCGATTCACCCGCCTACAATATCCCGGCCTATAGCCTATATCGATAAAAGAGCAATGGAACGGCCTGTGACTGGTACATTTCTGCCTTCAAATGCTTTGCGTACGATAAGGAATGTCCGATATGGGTCATTGACAGATGACAGTCAACCCCCCTCAAACCGGGAGCACTGGAAGAATGGTCGTCGTTTTCTTCGCCCCGTTAGCCTGTGTGCTTATAGCGCGGTCGACGCGCACACGCACAAAACCCTTTTCATATGGAGTTCCGCCGCGCGTAAACATAGTACCGCCGTTAGGTGGGATTCAACGAATCAAATTTTGGCGCCACTGATATTCGGCGCAAATCGATCGGTCCCACACGGCACTCACTGACATCCACCACTCACTCTGGTTCATAATAGGTCTATTGCGTGCAGTACCGCCGTTTGGTGGGATTGAACGAATCACTAGCGGGCGCCGCTGACTTTGCATGAAAAACCACTCGTTCCCGCGCTTCACCCACTGCCACTCTGCCATTCACCACTGACATCTCACATGACAGGGAGACCAGACGAACAAGGTAGTGTACGGTGCGATGGAGCACGGTCAGCCTCTCCGTGGGAACGAGAAGGTCTCCTCTCTCCTCAAGGACGTGGGGCAGCGCCTGATGATCGCTGAGCGCGAGATCGACGCGGTACCCATCAAGAAGCCGCCCTCGCCCTCGCCCTCGCCCTCGTCTTCGACCTCTGCGGTACGTTTGATAAGTTTGATACGTTTGTCGTCGGCTGAGAGGCATGCTTGCTTTGCTGGCGCGTGGTGTTGGTGCGGCGAGTGATACTTATTGTTTCCATATCGTACGGGTAAAGTCGGAAAAATCACTTTCTTGCTTTGCTGGCAAGTGGTGTTGGTGCAGCAGGTGTCACTTGCTTGTATCGTGGTCTCGAGGAGAACATGTCGACGATATGAATGATGTGGGCTAGCTTGGGAGTTGAAGTTTTATTTTTTGCTCCTTGGCATGTTGCAGTCGTGGGCCCTCTCTCAATATTCGGCGAGTAGCCAAGAACAAACCACACCCAACACTCGGCACCAGTAAATACTATTGAACCGCACCTGACGAGTGTATGCCCCGCACCCCTTTTCGAGCATTTTGTCTAATTTGCTGTTCGTCAAAACTCTTCGTTCTTATCGTGTTTCTTTACAGCAGTTCTCCCTGGGCCTAAATATCATACAATGGTCGAATTCCCTCTCTCTTTCTCTCTCTCTGGAATCTGATAGTTGAATCTTCAATCTGAAGTTGGATCGTGTGGTCCGATTGTCTTTTTTCGCCGTTTTTTCTTTGGGCCAGGGCGGTGTGGAGGAGAGCGCGCAGGAAACGTCCCCAGGCAGTTGTGACGAGGCAGCAGAAGCAGCAGAAGCAGCCCCTGCGACGGTGAAAATTACGGGGGCTGTGGAGATGAAGGGGATCGTCGGCAGTGACGGCAGGTAACTAGATTTAGTTTTTGTTGGCGTGGTCAACGCCATCGACGTCGATGCAAGCGATACAAGCCTGGGTTGCAGAACGCGTTACGCCACTTGGCAAAAAATGGGAATTCAAGAAGTTGAGGAGAGGCTTCGGCTTTGAATTTATGTAGAAACTTGCAAACCCATATATCTAAGCTACACGTGTGTGTGTTCCCTGTTGGATGCCCCACTGATCAAGTCAGAGGCAAGAACTGTGCGAAAACACAACATCTGTAGTGCGATGCGTTCTGAAAGATGTACAGCTCGGATCAGCAGATAACATTTGTGAGTGGGATGACTGCTGTAAATTTACACCGAAAAAGGTTAGGCGGGCTCACTCCGGATGTGCACATGAGGGTCGCTGCCTCAATTTGTTTCCGGGCTGTTGTTGTCCGTGGTGTGTAGTGTTTTGCGTGCAAGGTTGTGCTGCGTGCCATTTGTCGGAAAGGTATGTGTCGTCCAAGCGCTCGTGACAGAAAGGACGACTCAACCGAGGTTTCTTTGTACCGTGTGCTCTCAACCTGATTGATTTGCCGGACACCCCCCTGCTCGGCAGGTCGTACCTCTTGGACGTTTCTCGAGTTACTCCTCGCGATGCCAACTGGGTGCGGGGGGCAAAGGGAACCGGGGGTTACAACGAGTGGATGGCGGTAAGTGCTGTAATATTTTATGTAGCGAGGACCGGTGATGCACAAGTTGACCGTGTTATCATAGCTCTTCCAGCGGTTAGGGAGTAGGGAATGCTGATTGGTTCCTACAGCAGTGGGTGTACGCCAAAGAAAATGATGTGCGGCTTCATGTCGTGGCAACGCCATCCAAGCTCGATGCGAAACGTTCGTTGAAAATGCACATCACAATCTGATGTTGTGCCATCCGAGCTCCGAAGGGAAATCGAAGCGGATGGCATGAAATTCCTCTCGTGGTGAAGGCCCTGAGGCTATCCCATCTCACAAGGACGCCATTCCACTCACACGTTCTACCATCATGCCCGCATTGAGAAACTTGTTTTCTGCTAAAGTTCGCTTCACAACCGGAGCCTCTCCCGATTGCCATTCCCTCACCATCCTACCCTCACCTTCCACTTTTGGCATCTGTTCTGACAACGGATTCTCTTTTTCACAACCCCCGGCAGGCTCAGGTAGACGAGCCGGTGCTGACCGTGGGAGACTGGGAGAAGGATGCTACCCAAGGGCAAGAGGCTGGTAAGGGCAAGGGCCCAGACCTGAGCTTCGAGAGCATGGCGGTGCTTCGGCCGGAGCTTCTCACTATGTTCACGAGACACAAGGTGGGTCATGTTTCCTTTCATGACTGCCATGCGGTGCAGAGCTTTTGTGCTGGGCTTTTTTTTTTTTTTTGGCGGGGGGGGGGGGGGGGGGCAGGGCGTGTTTGAGCTCTCACCCGGATGGTCTGGCATATGGTACCAATGGTGAAGAGAACATGCGGAAACGTGAGCAAGTCGGTGCCGATCGTTACACCCAAGGTGTTGTGTTGTATGCCTAGAAGCACGAGCACCCCCGTTCCAACAGGGAAACTCTCAGATCAGCAATTTTCTCGTGCCCGTTCAGCAGGTACGCTCTCAGAACAGCAATATGTATGTTCGTGGTTGCTTGGTTATGAGACGTTTGCGGAAGGGTCGAAAGGACACCACCAGAGCATCTCCTAGTTTTCAGCACCACACCAACAGTCTTCTGACGGCTAACTATGCCTGACAAGAGCGACAGCACCGACTGACTCGCACCGATAAACCTCGGTCTACAATCCCACAACAGCAACAACAACATTGGCTCAAACGCCTTGTCTACACCCCCACGCCATCGCAGGTGGGCGAGTGGTTCAGGACGCGCAACTCGGAAAAGCTCGCCAGCGACGCCGACACCCCTGCGCCAGAAGCGAAGAATGAATCGGGGGACGCTGCCGAGAAGTCCCCTCTCCCCCCGACGCCCGAAAAAGCGCCTCTTGCGGAGAAGGAGACCATTCCCTCCCCATCGGTGCTGGCGGAGGCGGAGGCGGGCGGCGGCAGCAGTAAAACGACCGAGATTCCGGTCGAAGAGGGGGGCTCCGTGGTTGCTCAAGCCGGGGGGGAGGATGCGGAAGAGGGGGAGGAGGAGAAGGCTATGAAGGAGCTGAGGATGTCCGAGGAGGATCTGACCAAGCTTAAGGATGAGCAGGAGGCGCGCTGCAAGGAGCTCGCCATGAACGTCAACGTCTTCATGCCCTACAAGGTCGGGCGGGGTTAATGAGGGTGTCTAAGCTTCCCCGTGGGCGTGAATACATCTTTTTGGTCTTTTGCTTAGGCTGGTTAGGGTTTTGGTTTCGCCACGTCCATGAACACAATGAACAAGGTATCGGTGAACACGATGGTTGCGCACGCGGCACGTCCTGTAAAGGGCAACCACCCTCACATGGAACCCCCCCTCCCCCCTCTACAATTTTGAGCCACCTCTGGTATAAATAGTAGGAAGGGCCGATCGGACCGATCGGTGATCGGTCCTGTGGCGAACAATGCTCCGTCCTCTCGAGGACCCGTGGTCAATGGTCTAACAACTAAGCCTCCCAATGCATGAGTACCCCCCCCCCCCCTTCACTCTTTACCTGTGCGTTTTGTTCCAGGGCTGCGTTGACGAGGAGCAACTGCTTGCCGATGAGGAGATGGCGAGAAGTGCCGCTCGTCACTTGTGGGACGTGGCCCTACCGTTGGTCACGGCCGAGGTGAGAAACAGAATGGAAAGTTTAGGAAGGGGTGTGCGGGGTACAAGTGGGTACCATGCTGGCTCATGAAGGTCGTGTTGATCCCTGTAGGTGGCGTGTGAAGGTGCAGTACACGGCAACCGACCCCTGCGTTGCCTTCCTTTCTGGTTTGTTGGTGTTGGTGTTGGTGTTGTTGTTGCTGTCGTTGGTGCTGCTGCTTCTGGTATTCTCTCTGTTGTCTTTGTCGTCGTCGCTGCTGTTGATTGTACTTTCGTTACTGGTAGTCGTTAATGTTGCCATTGCTACTGCTGCTGCTGCCGCTCGTTGTTACTGTTTCGCCGTGACATTGAAAACCTTTTCCGTTCTGCGCTCGGTACCTCCTAACATCCGTACTGATGGTCTCCAACTTCAACTACAACTACAACTACAACTACAACTACAACTGCAACTACAACTGCAACTACAATTACAACTACAACTGCAACTGCAACTACAACTACAACTACAACTACAATTACAACTACAACTAACTCACGCGGATGGTCGCTTGTCGATGGGATCGTTGATAGGAGTCCTCCCCGTATGTGCCGTCCTGTATGATGTTATGTTGTGCTGACGGGGGGGGGGGGGGGGGCTACGCAGGTGAAGAGGGGGTCCCTCTGCCCGCTGGACTGTGCGGAGCTCGCCAAGGTGCTGCATGGATCGGGGGTTAACATGCGGTACCTCGGACGCTTGGCGACGGTGGCTATCGAGGAGGAGGCCGAGGACGCTGCGTGAGTCTGTGCTGCCTCTGCTGCTACTGCTACTGCTGCTGCTGCTGCTGCTACCGTCGTAATTTTCGTGGTTGCTGTTTCTCGTTGCATCGAGTGGAATGCGTGGCTGATCTATCCGTCGTTTCATTCCCGTCCGATTACTATTAGAACAGGGTTGGAAAGTCTTCCCGCCGTCACCACAAAAGAAAAACGCTTCCGTGAAATAAGAATGCTGCTTCTCTCGTAGAAATGTTACAGTCCCTGACACGTGATGGAGAAAAGTTCAGGGTAAGAAGTCAACAAACTGATTATTAGAAGTCAACAAACTGATTATTTTGTACTTTACGTGGTACTATGTGGTATATGGTATGGGGTAGTGGAGTACCGGTACCGGCGAAGAGAAGAGAAGAGAAGAGAAGGGAAGAGCAGAGAAGAGAAGAGAAGAGAAGAGAATAGAATAGCTCTAGGGATGATGGCGACTACGTGCGTCCAGAGGGAGGGCCGAAGCACAACCAACAGCCTGGTGACCAATGTTGTCAAAGCAAGCTCTAATATCACTCGCTTGTAGTGTTGATCTGACGCTCCGGCTACCAAATCTACGGTACCTGTGACTTGCGGTGTTCTCTTTGTCTTGACATTGACAGCGTGAGGGCTGACGGTAAGCTTCGCCGTTGGAGGATGCCGTTGTTCTGGCTGGAGATGCTGGAGACGGAGATGGTGGCCAGGTAAGACCACGCAAGGGAGGGAGAGACAGAAACAGAGAGAGGGAGAGAGAGAGAGAGAGAGAGAGAGAGAGAGAGAGAGAGACATGAAGACGCCAGAGTCATGCATATGCATACCATATTTCCGTCGCGGTTTGGTTGGAAGTGTTGCTGCTGCTGTTGCTGCTGCTGCTGATGTATGCGGTACTGTGATTTGTCGGCTTCCAGAAGCCGAAATCAAAGCATTAGGCTACTTGGCGATGGCCAGCCTAGCCTAATGGTTTCGACTTCGGCATCTACAGGCTACATATCTTGAAGGAGCCCTCGATGCGAACGACATGTGTTTTTTTGTGGTATGATCCATGATGATCGCTGAACATCAAACACATTTTTTTTTTTACATGCACCGCCATCGTTGAATTTTTTTTTTTTTTTTCCATGCACCGCCATCGTTGAAATCTACTATGTATATTTTTCCATGCACCGCCATCGTTGAACTCTAATTTTTTTTCCATTCACCAGGGCCGCCACGCACGTGTTCAACCGCTACATGGCCATGAGCTCGCCGAGGGCCAGACACGCACAAGGCAGAGCGGTTCAGCAGTTCCTCAACTGCCTCATCGGGGGTACTGAGAACGTGAGGACGAGGGGGGGGGGACCGGGGGGTTGTACTCATGTAACCGCACACCGTAGTCGTTAGGCCATTGACCTCGCATCCCTACAATGCTACCGGCTCGGAGCGATATGCTGGGGCTTCGCCGGGCCAGGCTACGCTTCACGAGGATGAACCAGAAGCTCCTCATTATCCTTGCGTTTGCTGTGCATAACCTGATATGCCATGGGTTGATTGGACATCCCGGCTACTCACGGGGGGGAGACAGGAGAGACATATGTATCTTTTTTCGTCGGACGTCCGAGAGAAGCTGTGTTGCATGTTTCAGGTTTGCTTTCTCGTTTTACGCAAGTGCTTGGAAAATCGATTGCCGAACTGGCTAGGAGTGGCAAAAAACGAGCTCTCTTTTTTCGCTGATTGTGTTGCCTGCCTTCTACATATCCATGTGCAAGGTACGTGGGTGTGCTTGATTTTGACGGCCGGTCGCCTTTGCCTTGGCCCGTTTTTGTGGTGCCCGACTCATCTCGGTCTGGTTTGGTGTTGATGATCTTCGTCGATATCTCTTTTTTTTTTTGTCTAGTGAAATACGCAGTTGGCAGGAAACAGACATCTAATCTACCCCTCCCCTCCTTGCGCGCTCTTTCCACCGCTGTCCAGCCGACAACAACGGCCACAACCGCCAACGGCAAGAGCAACAGCGGTGCCACCGTCAACGGCACCTACACCTCTCCGTCATCCTCCCCGCTCTCTTCCCCTACCGGAGGCATCCCCGCCGACAGCTCCTGGATGCCGGAGGATGACTTCAGCCTCGTCGCGCTCACCCCCGACGGGCTGTGGCAATCCGTGTGCGCTGAAGTGTTCCTCAGGTTCCGCCACCGGTTGGTCATCTGGGGGGCGCCCGTCGAACGCGGTGAGTTCATCGGGGGGGGGGGGGGGTGTACTCATAGTGGTGCATGCCGTAGTCGTTAGACCATTGACCTCGCATCCCTACAAAAGCCGGGACGGAGCACGCCGGGTTCTCACCGGACTAGGCTCTCACATCACCAAGCGCGAAGCGCCGTGAGGTATTCGGCGAGTCGCATGAAGGGTGCGCTGCATCCTGCTAAGGGTGTTCGGCATCTTGTGCTTACTTCCTTGCGTACAGATGACAGCTGGTTATGATGTAATTTATTTTCTGGTGCTTTCACTTCCAGAGACAGTTGTAAGCACTGTGTAACTGCCTCGAGGATGCTTGACCATTTTAACACAACGTGGTGCGATCATCCCCCTTGCGCGGAGTGAGGTTTCTCCACCCTGCACAACAAAATCTACTCGACAACCATTCATGGGTACCGCAAAAAAAGAGCCAGAGGTAAAAAAAAAACGGTTACCTGGTTGCCGAGTTCACGAAGTGAATTGGCTTGTTTTACAACGTCGTTGCCAAGCGACGAAAACCCAATCCCGATGGCAAACACCGAGTGGGGGGCTTGTTTTACAACGTCGTTACCAAGCGACGAAAACCCAACCCCGATGGCAAACACCGGGGGCGGCGGCCATCGGGGGGGGGGGGGAGCATTGCAGTGATAGGAGGAAGGAGTGAGCTGTCGGATGTCGCCACTGCCTTGCGTCTCTCTCTTGTCTCTCTCGTTTTCGCATCTCTTTTTTTGTGTGTCTCTTGTGCTCGGACACATGAAACGTACAGTAGCATGAGAGGGGATACGGCCGGCTCGTCCTCCCCATGAACATGTTGTTGATCTCGTAGATTTCGTAGATGTGTGCACCACTTGTATGATCTCAAGGACTCGCGCCAATCAATCGCTGAGTGTGTTTGTGCTTTGAAAACGCTAACACTGATGTTTGTGAACAACTCAAACCCCGCCACCAAACAGGAAAATGCTGAGCGGCGTCACAAGCTTCCGCTGCTGCGAAGGCTGAGCCAGCGGCTGGGTGCAAGGGTGCTTAGCAAGACCTACAGGCTCGAGACCAAGGAGCCATTCGCGCTGGAAGACATCGCCGGAGTCTCCCCGGTGGTGAAGGTACTGTATACTGTAGAACGAAAACGCCTCCCTTTGCGGGAGCTGTATGACATGTGCTTCGTTTCCATTTCGAAACGTAACAGGAAGTATTGACATGTGATTGGTAACTATGTAACAGCAGTATTGACATGTGATTGGTAACTATGGAATCCATGGCTGGTTTGTTCCGGGGCATGTATTTGCGCCTGGAGAACAATTGTTGTTGTGTCTGTTGTAAAAATCAGAAAATTGCTTGAAGGACACCATAGGCGCCTTGGGAGTCATGGTATGGAGGCGCGTATTTTTCTTGGCTCTTCGAGTCGGAGTTGAAACCTGTTTAAGTTTCAGATATATCAATAGTATACCATGTGGTAGTATTTATGGTATACCTGGGGTACGGTATCGGTTTGCTTCAATTTTGGTGTGCGTTACCACGCTCGTTGAGCAATGTCATTTTTTCTTTATTATTTAGCTTACCGATGTTCAGGAACCGAGGGGGCACGAGGGTGTACGCAAGCACAAAACACGCCTCTTTTGCCCTTGAAACGACGCCCGATTCTGCCCGCAAACCCACAAGGAGGCATGTTTCAATGTCAAGCACATATTTTATTGTTGCTCTTCTGCCGACCGGCGTAGGTTGCTGCAGTGTCAAGTGTTGTGCTTCTAGTTCCGACCGGCGATTACTGCTCCAGCTCAAGGATTAATCCTCAACGACCCCCCCCCCCCCCCCACACACACACACACACACACATGCACATTTTGTTTTGTCAGTCTTGCGTACCTGCATCCCCGGCTCCTGACGCCGCCGAGGCTCTGGAGATGGCACAGCTGCACCTTACGTCGGGCTCCGGGCTGCAAATGGCCCACGACTTTGCGCACCACGCCGCCACCCTGCTCCTCCAGGTGATTTTGATGGTTTCTTCCTCTTCGCTCAGTGCCTTTGTTACAGGTCCACTGCCAACGTATTCGTTGAGTTTCCAACATGGGGAGCACCGTGAGCGATGTTGACCGCAATCGCGCCGCTCACGCACTTAACTGACGGACGACACTTTATACAAGTATTTCACTAGCCTACAGGTACTGCTATAGCATCAGATGGATGACCCGATTTGTTTTTTCCCTTTTTTTTCCACAGACAATTTTGTTGCCGGGTATTTTTTCGGCTCTTTGTGTTGTATACAAGTGCCCGTTTTCGTGTCTTCGGGTTTTCTGGAAATCGTGTTGCTTACATACAACACCACGTTTTCCACCTCACTTTTCGACTTAGAAGTTTCCTCGTTTTCACTTGTTTCTCCCGTTTTTCTCTCCCTTGTTTTCCGTTGTCCCCTGCTACCTTTTTTTTTGTCGTTTTCTGTTGTGTCGGGAAGGCTTGCGACGGTATGCACAGCAAGTATCCGGCAGCTCTGAACCTACAGGCCAGGGTCATGTACCTCGGGGGGGACCCTGACACAGCGGTGGCTCTCCAGCTCAAGGCCCTCGCCTTCTACGAGCAGCTCGAGGGGCTAGACTCTGCGGCGGTGAGTGCTGCTGCTGCTGCTGCTGCTGCTGCTGCTGATTCCTTTGTCGTATTTTTTGTATATTGTAGGGCCTTGATGTTGAGGGACTGGACACAGAAGCAGTGAGTAGTGCTGTCTGCTGCTGCTGCTGCTGCTGCTGCTGCTGCTGCTGCTGCTGCTGCTTCCTATTCGCGATTGATGAGTAGGGCCTTGATGATGATCCTGTTCCTTTGACCGGCTGGAAAACACGATGGAGCCGCTCTCGCTATTTGCCGACTGAAAAGTGTAGGATTGCTCGTAAAAAGCCTTTGCGTTGTTGTTACTGGTGGCGACGCTCTTGAGTTGCCAACTGGGTGATTGATCGCTCCAGGGTTGCCAACTTTCTTTTCATTGGCCACACACCAGCACCTCTTTGTTTTTCGTTGTGTTTTCATTGTCAAGTTGTTCGTTCTGATTCTCGAAACCTTTGCCCATGCGTAGCTGGAGGGCTGAGCCGGTAAATTTTCTCGTCGCGTTTTTCTGCCCCTTCCTTCCCCCGTGTGTACTGTGTACTGACCTTCCTCTTTTTGTTTTTTGGTGTTCAGGTGGTGAAGTGCCACGAACAGCTAGGACAGTACTACATGACGGCAGGCATCTATGACAAGTGAGGTTCACCTCTTGCAAACGGTGGTCTCCTCGGTGTTTTTTCCCGGATTTCCTATACTGTACAAATGTTGTATTTGTATGGCATCCCCAAAGCTGAAATTTAACATCCAAAACAGACCGCACTACAACACATGTTCTTCCACGTATGTGTGTATGGCTGCTTTTGTGCTCTAACCAGATATATAGAATGACCTTTGGATCTGCTCCTCATAGTGCTGGAGCGTTTTAGTTGTGTTCATAGGCACAACTCACCCGTAATTGGACATGTGCTTGAATAGCATTGGAGGTCAAGTGGCCGAGCGGTCTAAGGCGCTAGTTTAAGGCACTAGTTCGAAAGAGCGTGAGTTCGAATCTCACCTTGATCATTTTCTTTTGTCCAGAAAATGTTCTCATACAGTATGGCCAGGCAGGCAGACGTAAAAGTTGTCTACCAGTTCCGCGAAATACTCTTGCATGCATAGGTATCAAGGACGGCCACCCTACCAAAAATAACATTAGTAGGCGCATGTATGTCTGGCAACTCATCGGGATCGGGGTGATGTACATCAGTGGCGCGTTCGTGAGAGCCGTTCATCAAAGTTTTCAAGAGTACCAGTACTGGCCTCTGTTCGCCATCCGACAGACTTCGGCTTTGGCTGCGTACTGTACAGTGACAATGATGCAGCCATCTCATCACAAACAAGAGCAAATCGACACCATCACTGGTGTCTATCTGGATGGGATAAATCTAGGCTACTTTTATGATACGTTTGTATCACCCCACAGAGTGCCGTTGCCTTGAGATAGTATTCAAGAATCTTACTGGAGCATACTATCCATCATCCTGCTGTCTTGTGCTTTTGGTTGGCGTTATTTTTGTCCCTCTCCAGCTCAAGTCGAGTACGAAGTCGAACCGAATTCACTCTAATACTGCACCATTAAAAACGAAGGCTGTGGTGCACAATAAAGTTCATTTCACGCATGGTGCAAACAGATGACGAGTTTTGTTTTTTTTTTCTCGCAGGGCCTTGGCGCACATGCGCGCTTTCTGCTACCTGGTGGAGCTCACGGCGGGCCCCAACCACCCGGAGCTGTCCAACGCCTACCACCGCATGGGGAGGGCCTACCAGGACTTGGGCAGCGCCATCATGGCTCTCAGGTAAAAGGACGTTGTCCGCGTCAGTCTGATGGGTTGATTTTGCGGATGAGCTGGATTTGTTGTTTTGCGGGAATTTATGAATACGGTACATTTCGCATCTATCCAGCGATGGAGCGTAGGATAATTAGTTCAACGAGTTCATGGCGTGATGGATTGTGTTTCTTATACTGGTATTGTATGAAGTGGCTCCCTTTCCCCCTCGTTGATCAGGTATAGTATAATCCTTGCTTTGAAATGAGATGACAGTAATATTCCGACACGCAACAATCGAACATTCGACAGGTGCTACCAGGAGGCGTTGGAGAGGCAGCCAGGGGACCACATGATCAACCCCCGGGTGCACCACAGCGTCGCGGAGACCCTCGAAGCCATGGGGGGATACCCCGATGCGCTCAAACACGAGCGACTGTCCCACGCAGGGTAAGGTTAACAGGAGGGCTTTGGTGTTGGTGGAGTGTACCGCATGTTTTTTTTTCACTTTTTCATGTTTTCAAGTATACAGTTGTAGTACCCTGATTGGGTAGTTCGTAAGCCTGTGACCGTGCGAAAGGCGTTCCCGTCATAGTCTATGGATGTTAGATGGTACTGAGCAGACGTCGGAACGTTTTTTTTCGCTGAGGCAGGTCACGAGGGACACCGTGATACATACGTGTCCGAATTGCGGCGTTCCCACGCCAGCATCCGCTGAGAAGAGGGTTTCCTGTTGTCATGACGCGTCAAGAGACGATCGTGATCGTCACACATGGTCTTCGCGCCCGATCGTGGAAAAGCTGCACCCTCCCTTTGGCACACGCAGCATTTCATTACTACTGCTGTATCATTGGATAGGTATCTAGCTCTGTAGCGTCCCCGGAGATCCCTAATATACTACCGAGAGTGGCGATAGAGAGAAGACTTTTCCATTAGACTACTCAGTCAGCGTTAGCGTGATATCATATATGATACGAGATTCCGAGGTGAGGCAAGCTGTAAAGGGGTTCGCCCAGAGCCACCATAACGTACCTGGATGAGCTCTCGGAGGAGCAACGTCATGTCAGGCGATCGAAAATCACATTAAGTCGTAAGTAAAGAAGCAAGTGGAGGAGGGAGCGAGAGTTACGAAGAAGCAGCAGCAGAACGTCCCGCGTCACAGAGCGAGGAGACGACAAGCCCCTCGACGGAGGCGACACCCGGGTAGAGAGAGAAGCTGCTGGAACGGAGTCATATCCGCGACACCAAACCAGACCCCATTCGCCGAGGGAAGATAGATCGCTTCAAGGAGGCCTTGCCGGGGCAATGCGAAGGGTCGACGTGGAACCGGATGATGACACCGGGGAAGTCACAACCTCTAAGGGCACATTACGCGTAGGAGCCAGTAGCTGTGTAGCCGCGTTTGCTGGAAATTTCAAGCAGGAAGACGATGAAGAAGTCACATAATCTTCCTGCTTGAAATTACCAGTACACGCGGTTACACTGATACCTTGGCGCTGACACGTATTTTTTGCTCAAGGGTTGTTACTTCCCTGGTGTCATTCTCCGGTTCCATGTGTGGACCTTTCGCATGGCCCCCGTCAGGGTCTCCATGGAGCGATCTTTCTTCCCTCGGCGATCGGGGCTGGTCTTCGTGTGGCGGATCTGACTCCGTTCCAGCCGGCCTCTTTCACTGGTAATTTCAAGCAGGAAGATGATAAAATCATCATCTTTCTGCTTGAAATGACCAGAAAACGCGGGTTCACTGGTACTGGCGCTAACACGTATGGTGTCCTTGGAGGTAAATAGTGACTCCCCTGGTGTCATCCTCCGGTTCCATGAGGACCATTCGATTTGCTTGTGCATTTTGTTTTTTGTTTCAATCTTATCATGCACTTTCTTTTTTTTTTATGCGATGCTAACCTCAAAATCCGATCAAGAGTTGTGATCGCCATGAATCTCTGGGCGACCGCCCACGGGCGTCAAAAGTGTAATCCTCCTGTCCGGAGTCTCTTTGTGACACCGTGATGAGTCATATGCTGCCGTGGACCTCAAGTGTTGCTTATTCTCATATTGGTAATTAAGCAAAGTTTCGCATGCATGCTATGCATCCATCTACCCGTTCCGAATTCCCTCGTTGCCGTTGCCTTCGATTTTTTCGTCCGTCAGGTTCAAGGCCGTGCATGGAGACCAGCACCCGCTAGTCGCCAAGAGCACGCAGAACATCCGGGCGTTGACCACCAAGCTTGTCAAAGCCGCCCAGGGCAACCCGAGCCAACAAACCTCACTTCTTGCAGAAGCAAAGGCGGCGGCGGCGGCAGCAGCGGCGGCGGCGTCCGCCTCCCAACAGAACGCCTCTGGAAAGGGCAGTGGCAAGGCGGCGCCTGCGGCGGAACCGCGAGCAGGGGCTAGCGCCGGCGGTAAAGATGGGGGGGTGGAGGAGAGCAAGAGTAGCGGGCAGGGCGGGAGTTCTAGCGGCAAGAAGGACTGCTCGTGTTGTGAGACCAAGAAGAGTAGTGCATGATGCGTGATTTGTTTTGGAGAGGGTTTGGTGTTGTATGGGAAAGGTCTGGTGTTGGCATGATGGTGAAGGTGGTAGGGGCACCTCCCGTGTGTGCTAGCGTAGGGGTTTGCGATGGTCGCAGGGTGGGGTTGAGAAAAGAAGGCCTTCTTTTCTGTTGGTTTTCCCTTGTGACGAGCAAGATTGTGGCAAGGAATGTGTTGTTTTTAACATCAAGCACGCCTCCGGCAGTGCGTGTCTTTTTCCTTCCAGACACTACCACACCTAGAGTAGCGTGGCCGGTTGCCCTGGAATGACGGCCATGTTTGTTTCGATTTGATCAGCTTGCGAGAAACATACTCGACAGCAGTTCGACCCCCTGAAACACGTAGGGACGTACACGCCCGAAAATCCATCACGATGAGGGAAGGGCGGTCAGGGTGTCCTTGTGGTCCGGTCGGCCAGCCATTAGGTACGTAGTCGCAGGTCCAGAAGTCAAGGGAATGCCACAGTATTTTAGGTAGGCTAGACTATGCGTGGGTGGAAGAAACGTGGTGTCTCCCGGTGCGTGTTGGTTACGCGTGAGCCAGGAAAGGGACGATGATTTTGGTGTGTTTGTGTAATGTGTTTTGATGGAAGATTCCAGCGACAGCGACACGCTGAGTGAGCCAGGTTTATCTTCGTAGCGTAGGGACAATTATTTTTGCCAAAGAAGGTTACTCTGCAGATCGTTCTATGAGTTTCTCGGGGTACCGGAAAACACCCATCGACACCCCTCCTTCACGTTTCGAATTTTTATTCGGCGTCACCCCCCCCCCACCACGTAACACGAGGAGTGCTGACGTTTTTCCATTTCACTGTGATGAAAAATACGGTAGGGCGACTACAGTACGAAGGCATGGCTACATATATGCAGACAGGAGAGCGACTACTACTCCATCTGCAGCTCCTGTGCGATGCCGCCCGGAACCCCCGCCGCTACTGCCCGCACCCCGCCGACTGCCGTCGCGGGAGACGATGAGGCACTTAACCCTATCCCCAAGTCATTGACACACTCCCTCCCCCGGCGGCCCATCGGCGGCCTTGCGGGCGATCTTCGTCTCGCCCGCCTCGGCACCCGACCTCGAGTCGGGCTGCCGCTTGAGGCGGCCCCGCCGCTTCTCCGACGGGTGCCTCCGCGGCCGCCCAATCCAACAGCAGCAGTAGCAGCCGGAGCACCAGCACGAGCACCACTACCACCACCAACGCCGCCCAAACCAACGTCAGCAGCAGCGCCAGCAGCGGCAGCACCAACACCGCCCAAACCAACAGCAGCGGCGCCACCACCGCCACCACCACCACTACCACAAAGGCCGCCTAATCCAACAGCAGCAGCAGCGGCAGCAGCAACACCGCCGAGTAAATTTGGCTCCCACGGTCGCCGCCCGAATGGCACGGCGGTCGCTCGACGACGATCGTCGCCGGAGTCAGCGTCGACCTGAGGCGGACGTCGATCCCGCTGCCGTGGCCACGGCGAAGGCCACGAGCGGGGGTGAGACGAGACTGAAAACACCACGGCTGCCACCGCGGGGGCGATCGCCGTCAGGACAAGGGTCACCGGCAGGGACAGCGCCGTCACCCCGAGAGCGCGGAGAGCGGCACAAGCCTCCAGGACGCCAAGTAGAGTGAGGAAAGCCCAGAGCCTGAAGTTCCGGGGGAGGGGAACGGCCGATTGACCCTCAGCCGTCGCCGCCGCCACTCCCACCTGCCTGATCGTAGTGGTGCTGCCCCTGCTCCTGTCATTGTGCGGTGGCCGGTCGAGCGTGACCGGCAGTCCTCCCGCCGCGACCCCTCGAAGACGCTGCTGCCGCTGGTCCTCTCTCCTGGCGTCGCTACCCCCGCCGTTGAGCCAGGTGCCGCCAAATGAAGCGCTCTCGGACCCGCCGCCGTCGCCGCCGCCGTTCCTTGTCGTGCGTGTGCCGGCCCACGATGCCTCGTCTTCCCCACGAGCTTGTTCTTGCTGGTGTTGCCCTTCTCGGTTCCGACGGCCCCCGACAAGTCTCGTAGCCGCGGTGCTGCTGCTGGCAGTGCTCTCAGTCGGCCAAGGGGCCAAGAAGTGGCGCAGGGCCGGGGGTCGGGGCTCGAGTTTCATCTGTATGACGCGCGTTGGGGGTTTTAGGACCGGAAAGGGGCTAAATAAAGAGTACGTTAGGCAACAGACCAGTCAGCGTGGACTGGTCTGACGGGTTGATTTCGGATTTCGGCTGCTAAGCCGGTGGTGTATTTTGATTTTCGTGGACAGACGTCAAGCCCCCCCCTCCCCCCCCCGAGTTTTGCGAAGCACTCGCGGTTCTTCCTTGTCCACAAGCAGCGACGGGGGGTCGGGCCTACGCGATAAGGCCCAATGGTACAAGTTGATCACTGACTCCTTCGCCCAGGGTTGCGAGACGTACACAATGCATGGGTCGCGACACCTTGCCGGGGGAGCCGATGCTACATCATCTCTGTCCATGGAATCAACCTGAGATTTCGATTCATTCGCCGTCGTCTTTTCTGAGGGCCCTTTTCCATCAAACACCCTGCCGCTGCGGCTGTTGCTCCTCCAAGCTACCCTTCCTACAGAATAATCGTCTCCTCATGCCCAAACAGAGACAGATCTACACCACGACACCAAGAAGCCCGCAAGACATCAACAATCTCCTCCAAACTCACCAGAACCCCAAGAAGCTCGCAAAACGTTTCCCGGCGTTGTTCCTCCGGCCGCTTCTCGCCCAGCACCTCAGAAAAAGCGCCCCTAGCGCTGGAAACTGCCCCCTTCGGTGGGAACGCGAAGTCTCTGACGCCATCATGGGTCTCGCAGACGTCCTCCCAGAGCTGGAGGAAGTGGGAATACCTGCGTTGCGTTAAGGACGTTGTTGCGGTTGTTGAAATTCTTGTAGATGTTTGGTGGTGTTGTTGCTGTTGCTGTTGCTGTTGCTGTTGTCATTGACGGCGATTTCGTTGTTTCTGTACTCGATGAAAATTATTTGTTCAAGGCAGTCGCACTACTGCTGATGTTTCACACCTGAAAAGAGCTATCAACCACCACCCCCTACTCCTAGGTCAATGCTCTACCGACTCGGGCATGCGTTGACACGATGACCTCCCCCTCCCTCCTTCTCTCTACCGCCACGAAGAAACTCCCCTCCCCACTACACAGATAGGTATTCCCTACGCCCTACACCCTTCAGGAATAAGAAATCATCACCTTCGATACACGTTCCTCGCGAGGCTTTGCCCCAGCACTTCAACCTCAACGGCGTAAACCGCGACCCCTTTGCAGTACTCCCACTTCCATACGTCCGCCCTGTGAACGCGGTGCTCCTGCAGCCCCCGCCGCGAGTCTTCCTCCCCGTTGCCCGCGCCGTCTCGAGTGCCACCACCCTGCTGCTGCTGCTGCTGCTGCTGCTGCTGCTGCCCCGAAAACCATGTCTTGCTAATCCCCAACCTCTCTCTTCCCCCTCCCGGTACCCTTTCCCCCATCACCCCGGCACCCCTACCCTCTCTTCCTCTTCCCTCGCGACTATGCATCACCCCCCACCCGCCGCCGGCCGACAGCCGGATAGGCGAGGAAATCTGGTAAAATAATCGAACCGCCTCGGCCGCGGCGTCAGCGGCGGCGGCTGCCACCGCGCCGCTGCCGCCGCCGTTCCCAACCGGGGGCGACGCAGGTTCAGGGCGGGGGGGGGGATCCGAGCGCGTCCCCGTCGTCTGTCCCCGCCTCGACGGGGTGGCGCTGGTGTGACGGGAGTGGGTGGTGTACGGTGGCGTTGCTCGCGGTGGCGTCCGTTGCCCGGAGCGATGATGCCGCTCTTGATGCTGCTCATCTTGTCGTAGCAGCGGGAGTGGTGCGGTGACGCCGCCGTCTCTCCCGTCGGCGGGAGCCCCGCGGCGGTTCCTCGTCCTGATTCCTATCCGCGTGCCCCCCTTCGTCGTCGCGGCGGTAGATCCGACCCTCCTCGGCTGGAGGCGGCCGTTGTCGCCGATGACGTGGTCGAGATTCTTGGCTGCCTCCTTCTGCCGCAGAAATTCCCCTTTCCAGAGTAGTTCCGCCAAGAGGGGGAAGGGGGGGGGGGGGTGATGGAGATGATATATATTGTGGCCGACCAGGATGTAAAAGGTTTTATGTGGATCGAGAGGTGAACCTTTTTTTGGTTATCCAATACGGTTTGGCCTTGACCACACCTAGAACTCTCGCAGATAGACGTCTGGAACAGGCAGATTGCCATATGCAATAATAGCCGCATATTTTAATCAGGCCTTTGGATGCACACGTGTTCAGCCTGGGGCGAAGGTCTGTTCAGCTTCGGGCGAAACCTCCTACCCTACGGATTGGTCGCGCTTCCAGCGCGTGTCCAGTATAGTTCGCTCTCTACCGCTTGTTGAGGCACACATCATGCATCCACGGAACCGCTCACCTTGCTCAGAAACGGCACGTTCCACTGCCGGGCCAGTGTTGGCAACGCCGCTCGGTGGTAGAACTCCTCCACCTGCCGCCGCCATTTCACAGGGTGTCTCGACGTACGGGCCTGTGCGGAGGGAGAAAATGTCAGAAAGCCGTCCACAGAAAGATGAACCAAACACGCGTATCACTCAGGTTGTCCTATCTACACGGCTAAACCTGACCATGCCCACCGTAGCCGTTGTTTGGGCTGATTTTTTCAGTGAGCCAACAGCTTTATCGACTCAAACTTTGCGGAAATCCCGCGCGCACAATGGTCTCTCTCCTTGTTAAGAGGCCAAGGATGGACTGTAATCATGTACTCGTATTATGATGTAAACGCACACCGTCGTAGTCGTTACACCAATGGCCTCGCATCCCGACAAGCGCGGTCGGGGGCGACTTCAGTGCCACTACATCCATTCCGCTGCGAAGAATGTCTACTGCACTCAAAACACCTCCATCGCTAAAACACGACACAGCTGATACGTTGTTGCTTGCCCCAGAGAGCGTAATGCGAGTAGGGACAACTGGGGTAGGCTCGAGAGCCTTCTTTTGTATCATATAGAGTTGATCACGGGCGATGCCAACGATAACTTACGAACCAAGAGGATGACTATCACACATTTCATCACGTCACTCACTCACCTCCGCTCGTCAACCGCTTTGTGGGAATGTGGGTTGCTGTTTTTTCTTTAGCGTAAATATTTGAATGATAGTGGCAAATCTTCAAAGTTCAAACTTCACTCACCTCCTCTGCCAAGAAAACCTTCAAAGATAAATCGTCCCAGTCTCTCCAAGCTAGACACGGCTCCCTCGCTCGCAGTCGCCAACTCGGTGAAGCAACGCTATCCCGAGATTGCAGGGGCTAAGAAATGGAGCAAACGAATTGGAGGAGGGGAATCGGGTTGGAAGGACGGTTGCCCAGCAGAAGTAAATATTTGCCTGATAGATAGGAAATGGAACGGTTTGGAGGTTGACTGAAGCCCAGGTGCCGCATGTTCAGCCATTTGGCACTTTTTCTTGATCGTATTTCGTTTCCAGCCCGATCAAGGTGGACGGATAAACGCGCAGAGGCAATACGTTGTCTTTTTCCGATCCTCCGCTATGTAGTCTCAGACATCAGGAGAAGAGCAACAAACGGGAAGAGGTAGTCTAAAGCATTTCCATGTGTTATTCTATTTGTTGTTGGCATTTCTGTACTGTTAATCACACTGGACCCCGTTCAAGCAGGAGGGAGGCGTGAAGCGGGGTATGATCTTCCCAGGAGCAAAGATACAGGCCGTCAGTCGGCCTGCTGGAATCTCTCGTCAGCAGTTAATGATTTTCCCAATATCACCTCCGTCAACTGACGACGCGCAAAAGCAAACAACTGGGTGTACTGTATGTGTCCGTTCACCCTCCCACCTTCCTTGACGGATATTGGTTTCGTCCGACCAAAGACAGATTAGAAATTTGACACCCCATTTCCCCCCAACCCCGCCCCATTCCTACCGAGTTTCCCGCTGTGCTGCCGCCGCTGCTGTTGTTGTTGTTGTCTGCATCTCCATGAACCACGACTCCCGTGCGGTTGCCACCGTTCCCCCGCTGTTGCCACCGCCGCCAACGCCGATGCCATTCACGGGAACGCAAACGCCCCCCTCTGGATTTTCGCAGATAGAACCGAAGACCCGCGACTACGAAAAACACCGTGTTGAGGCCGAACGCCAGCCGCACAGCGCTCGTTGTGTCGGACCCCCGTAGGGTTCTCTGTGCGGCCAGAACCCTGTCTTCGTCGCTGGGAGCCTTGCGGGGCTGGGCGGGTGAGTGCCCACCGACAACGCTGCAGCTGCTGCCGCCGACTTTTCGCTCAATGCCAGTTTTCTTGAGCACGGCGAAGTAAACCTTTTCCCTCGTCTCGCTCCACGCGCACTTCGCAACGGCCCCCACACGCTTGGCGGCAGCGCGAATTTCTCTCCATGCCCTTGCGGTCCCTTTCCTGATGGTCCCGAGAAAAACGGAACAACGGTGGGAATCTCCCTTGCCGTTGTGGTGCTCGTTGGTGATCGAGCTGAACGCACGAGCAGGCGTAGGCGTGGCATCCCCGCCGGCGGTCGCAGGTGTGGCGATGAGACGGAGTTCTTGCACGTACTTTGGGCAAGCCTCGAACTTCTCGACATCTCTGCAGAACCTCGACCGGTGTTTCTGTGAAGGAAAAATGAACGGTACGACACGGCGCTGCCACCAGGAGGAGGCCGGCGTGGCTTCGCACTCTTGTGCCCAGCGGTCGCACCTCTTGGCAGTCTGCGTGGCGCTGGAAACAAGCAGCATCATGCGGGAAGAAAAAACGCGAACACACGTGTTTCAGTTTTTACGTACAATACACCATCATCCGCTGGTTACATGCCGACTGGTGGGTCAGTCTGCAGCTGAGTAGGGTAGTTTTACCGTACGGTGGGCCGAAGTCCCTCGTCCTCTACAACAATACAGAACGCGCCCGCACTTCAAACCTTTAGCTTTCACCAAGGGCGGGCTTCTTTGTTCCTAGGATCATGCTCCGAACTACCAGTACATGTGTTTTTTTTAGTGCGATTGTTCTTGACCTACAGCAGTTCGTAGCTCAAAAACGGTGCTCAAGTTCCGAGGTTTGGTGGTATTTTCGGCCAAGTTTCTACTGTACAGCAGTACAGTGCGGGCGCGCTCTGTGTACTGGCGCTTTGCTCTTACCTCCAGGTGAGCAGAAAATATACCACTCGGTGCGTGCTCCAGACTGAGAGGGCGAAGTACACAGGAAGGACCACAGCAGCAAGAAGCGGGTTCACCGCTGCCAGAGCAAAGATTGGATCCACCGCATCCATGCTGGCGGACGGGTTGTTGAGATCTCCGAACAACGGGAAAAATGCGGCTGCGAAAGGGCGGGAAGCCAGGGACGGACGCAGAAAGAGCAAAATACCTTCATGATGATGGATCCATGTGAAAGTCATGCGCTGAGCAGTATGCGAAGCACCTGTGCCGCCCCCCCTTTTCACTGGACTAAACGACGCGTGCACCGCAGCCTAGCCTGGCCTGGCCTTTACGGATAAGGAGGCACCTGCTGCAATGATGCTCCGCATGCATCCGGTTTCTGCGTTTGTATTGGAGGCTAGACAAGGAGAGAGAGAGCGAGAATTGCACACGATGCTGTTGCATCTTCTCCCCCCATTATCCCTCCCGGGTGTGTGTAGCACCTGTTCCCCTTCTTACCTGGTGCTGCGATTGCAAGATCCTCCGGGCCAAGATGCATTGATGTGTGTTCCTGATCCTCTCCCGCCACTGCTGATGGTGCAATTTTTGGTCCGCCGTCTCAAAATGTGCCGGTTCGGGAAGACGGATAATTCATCCGCATCCTGTCACATCACTGCTGTCCGAAATCGGCGGGGGGCATGCGGGCATGCTCGTACAATTTCCAGAGCGTTCGTCCTCATGGAATGGCGTCTACCAATGCGCACGTGTTCATTCGTTGCTCTCTGCTCCAGAGAAAAGCAACAATGGTGCTGCCGCCACGACGGAAGTTTATGTATTCACTTGCGAGAGCGGGCTTCCAGCTGCATTGTTCAGCGGAATGCTTCCCACCGCACCGTCTGATGACATAAGTATGATCACTGCAGGGCAGAGGTGTAGGTCGTGCACGGATCAGAACCTCCCAAGGGTTGACGGGGAGGTTGGGAGGCCGGGATTGGCCTCGAACGTATGTTTGGTCAATGCTGCCAGCCGGCGCCGAGTCAGTTGGAATATCGCCACTCCTCAAGATGCAGGAATACTTGCCCCCCCCCCTCCCAGGTTGTATTCGGTGCCCAACCTGCAGTACCTCAGCCTGACCTCTGGCTACCAGTTGTATACTGGAGGTGTGTCTGGCGTTCCTGCGGCGTTGTTCGTTTGGGAGGAGTTCCGACATGTTGTGTGAATCTTTTTCCCATGCTGCAAAGCTAGACCGAACGTTCAATCGATAAATACTCTTTTCGGGAAACGGAAACGACCGCGTTATTGGAAGGCCCGGGGGGTAGTGACAAGATTGCGGTACTGTTCTCACAGCCGCCGAGCTGCAGAGTGTGATCAAACAAGATCGTCTACGCGCATGCACGTAATAGCTGTGTGACTCACGCACCATCACCACGCGCATGCCCGAAGGCCAGCACCAAAAGCACCGGCATCTAGATGTGCGGTTGATGACTTCACAACAAAAACCGTTCCAGTCTCCACGCTCCTCAGCATACTTGGAGGTAACGAGAATGATGGCCAGCGTTATATCGCCCCCGGGACTGAGAAGGAGGTAAATACACTCGTCACAAAGGACATGGAAAGAGAATCAGACATCTGATTATTGGGCGGCAATAGCTAAAGGCGATCGCTCATCTTTGCAGGTTGAGCTCAGACGAGACTGGTCCAACACGAGGCACGCCATGTGCGCCCGCCACCACACCTTGTGCATGAAGCGTTCCACCACGGAACACTTGCAGCTTCTCAGAACAACAAAGCACACACATATCTATATGTCACACACCTATCACACCTTGCGCTCGACAAATCCACCTTGCTCTACACCCAAGTAGGTGGCCATGCCGACAACGCATGACAGAAAACTACCATGCCCGACGGGAGCGTATGCCTACAACGAGTCGTGGGCGTCAAAGCATATAGCTAGCCTCTTGCTTCCCCATCGCGATAGGAGACATACAGAACGTCATCAAATCTTGCCCTGCAGGGTCGGACATATGCGACGGACGGCAGACCCTTGGGCGCCGCCCGTCAACCACGAAACACCTACGACAGCAGTGAACGCATTTTTCGCTACTCCTATAGAAGAACCATGCACGTTACGGCCATCATATTGGTGGTCGAAGGACCGAAATTGATTGCCGCCACGGCACAGAGCACATCAAGAAGGTACTCACAACATCAATGCACAAGAAGAGGCGTTGTAGATGAACGTGCTGAGACAAGATCGTTGTATTCCATAAAGTGAAACAACAACCACTGGACCAAGACTTGGGGAGCACCACATGTCGAGGCTAAGATACGCCAATCCTGTGGGGGGGGAGGGTCACATCAACGTTGTGTCTGGTGCGTTGACACTTAATCGCACTACGTATTCACACCACCTGGACTACGCCACTGGGCGCCGAGCAATCGATTCAATCGATGGCCTGCACCACTGAAATCGTCACCAAAACAAAACATACAGGAACACCACAAGATCAAGAGAACGCGCAAGAAACAAGCGCAGTCACTGGAAACGAGTGATCAATCTCGCCCGATCATGAACAGGCAGACAACACTGGCCTCGAGGGTCAATCTAGTCAGAGGTATGAAAGAGGGCTCCAGGCAACAAGCTGGGTTTTCAGGACAGTATAGCACAAGCAATCTCGATCGATTCACATTAACCATTCAGCCAAAGCCTCAAAGCACGATCTCCCCCTCTTCTTCGCTGTCGTTCTCAGCCTCCCCCTCCTCCTCTTCCTCCCCCCCCTCCTCCACCCCTTCCTCGATCTCATCAGGCATCCCACCCGCCGACTCCTCCTGCCATCCCGGGGCCCTCGAAGGAAGCCACCCCGCCGCCGGGGGCTGCTGTTGCACCGCAACCGGTGAAAGCTGGTGCTGCAACGCCCCTCCTCCCTGCTGCATCATCACCACACCAGGCGAAGTTGGGTGGCCGTGCACGATCACCGCGGGCGGCGGTGGCGGCGGCGGGGGGGGAGGCGGTGGCGGTGGCGGCGATTGCATCACCAACCCTCCCCCCTGGGGGCTCCGCACAATCATCGCAGCTGGAGGCGGGTGTTGGACACCTCCTTGCGGCACGCCGCCCCCCGTCCATGAACCCATCCCCATCCCGCCTGGCCCATTCACCGGGGCACTCGCATTGTCCGGCACGACACCGGCCTGATGTGGAACGAAGCCCAGACCACCGGTGCCAACAAGCCCGGGAGGGACGATCTGCGCCTGCGGGTGGCCGGTTGCGGGCAAGCCTGGCGGAAGGACGCCGCCGCCGACCCCGTTCTCCGCGCCCAAGACGTTGCTGCTGCTGTTGTTAATCTGGTTCTGATCCGTCCCCCCTTCCCCGTACTCTGTTCTCGACCTCTTCCTACTGCCGCCAATCTCGCTTTCCACTACCGCATTGGCGCCGCCGCCCGCCACTACCGCCGCCCCTTCACCGCCCCCGATGCCAGCACCAGCCACCGCCGTCGCAATCCCCCTCTCCCTTTTCCTCGGGTCTAGGGGTGGAGGCGAGCGTGGCGCTTCGGGAGGAGGCGAGCTTCGCGCCACTGTTGCCGCCACGGCCGCAGGCACTACCGGTGGCGGTGACATACGCTGCGCAGACAGCACCGGCGGTGGCGGTGGCGGTGGCGGTGGCGGCGGGGGGGGTGGCGGGGGCAACGCTGTGACCACAGGCCCTACATTCGTTTCCTCGACCTTGGTCGGCGGTGGCAGCGGCTGCTGCTTGGGCTTTTCGAAGGTACTGCTTCCGGTACCGCGGGGGTACGGCGGCGGCTTCGGCCGTCGGGGATCACGAGGTTTGATACCGGCGGCGGCGGCGGTCGGCGACACTCCCGTAGATGGGGGAGACGCCAGAGGTTCGACCTTAGCGGTTCCGGGAGAGGAGCTCGCCGGCTTTTTCCGGGGGGGGGGAGGTTTGGGCTTCTTCTTTCCATTGGGGGGGAAAGAGAGGCAGGAGGTTGAGCCTTGCTTGGCCTTGGCAGCGACTCGCGGATCGGCCGACGCGCCCTGTCGAGGGCTGCGTGGACGGGGGTCAGCGCTGCTCGTTGTCGGGGATGTCGCCGTCGCCGGTGTTGTCATCGATTCGTCGTTTTTATTTTGAGGCGGCCTAGCGGGCGGCTGGGGCGGGGGCTGCAGTTGCGGCGCTGCCGAGGCTGCTGCTGCTGCTGCCGATGCTCCTACAGCTTCCGGAAGCGCCGGGGTTGTCGGCGACCGCGGTGAGACTTGCCGCGGTGGTTGTGGAGGCGAGCGTCGCTGCTGCTGTCCGCCTTGTTGTTCTTGCTGCTGCTGCTGCCGCTGTTGCTGTTGTGGTACTGCTTCAGGTCCAGATCTTGGCGACGCCAACCTCGGGGGCGGTGGCGGTGGACGAAACGCCGTTGGAACTGGCACCGCCTCTCCAGCCTTCTCCGATTCGGGGCCACGAGCATCCACCATCACCCTCGTCCCGGCGGCATATCCACTCCTCTCCCCAGCCGCAGGAGAACTCCGCGGAGATCGGGGCAAAAACACGGTCCCCGATCCCCCTACTTCCGAGGCCGCTCCTTTGCTCTCTGAGTCTGGCGACACGGTCGGCGCCGCGGCTGCCGCCGCCCCATTGAACGGGAGCATGACAGCACGGTCCGTCCTCAGCGGCGGCGGGAGAGGATGCTGCTGCTGCTGCGTGCCCGCCGTCGCCATACCACCGACACCACCACCGCTGACGACGGCAGCTCCTGGCGCGCTTCCCTGCAGCGGGAGCAGCAGCGAGCCTCCGCCGGATGACGGGAGAGGAAGCGCCGTCGTCAGAACGCCTCCACCACCGCTGCCAGAAGCTTCCACAGCCGGCGGCGGCGAGATTGCCTGCCTCCCATTTCCACCCCGGGGCCCTCCTACCGGACCACGCCCCCCATCGCCTGCCCCCGCCCCTCCCCTGTCCGTCGGCGTGGAAGCAAACGGCAGCAGCGTTGGCGCGGGCGGTTTGCGGCTGTCGTCGTCGTTGTTGGCGCCCGCCCCCCGCGGTGCCGACTTCGCCAGCGACGAACCCGGTTTCGGCCCGCGGGGGGGGCGCGGCTTCGACTTGGGTCGCGGCGGCGGCGGCGTGGGCGATCGCGTCCTTGAAGAACCAGAAGAAGGCCTGCTGTTTCTAGCGCCGCCGGCGCCGGCAGCGGCAGCGGCGGCACCGCCACCGTTGCCGGACGGCGGTGCCGATCTGGAGTAAGGCTTGAGGCTTAGGAGGTCGCACCTCGGGTCTGTGACCTTGACGAGCCCCTCCCTGCTCTCGGCCAGGTCGGCGAGCTCCTTCCACTTGGGGTTTACGGAGAGCGCCTCGGCGGAGCCGACCACGAAGAGGCCTGGGGAGACACGGGCGGTTGCAGCGGTGGGTTCGTGAGGGTTTTGGTGAGGCCACAAGACAACGGAAACAAAACGTACGATGTACCTACATCGGCAAACTTGTAACGCTGCGCGCGGTGCTTCAAAACTACTCAGTAGAATAGAAGATATGATACCGTAGAAAACTGTGTACAGACGCCTCTTCCATCAACGAAGCACATAGCGCCACCCTTGCCAACTAGGCAAGTCTGAAAGTCCCCTGTACAAAATTCCTAGAGAGGGGATGCCACGGCTCTCCAGAAAAGCACACAACACCGCATACTCGTGAAAAATCACAAAAAACATCCTCACCGTGTCTGGCGCGCGTGAGGGCGACGTTCATCCGCCGCACATCGGCGAGGAAACCGATGCCTCGAGACCCTGCTGCTCGGACGGTGGATACGATGATCACGTCCTTCTCCCTCCCCTGGAAGGCGTCCACGGTGCTGATCTCCACCTGTTCGTGCCACCCGCGCCCTAGGCTTTCCTGTTCCGATCAAGGGGGTGCCGTGGAATGGAACAGAGGGTAGGGGGGGGAAATCGGCTGGCTGAAGGTGGAATAACCACAGAACTAATTGTATTCCCCCGGTGCTACTCGTTCAAAAGAGAAGTAATGCCGAAGTATCAAACAATTTACACGGGGATCGCCTGGAAAAGGAAAACAAAACACCGGTGGTGCATTTCCCGACACACCCATGCTATCTCACACCCGATCCACTGCCCCAACTCGTTCCCCATCAATCCTTCACTACACTTGGCACACACCTTCAACTCCAACATTTCTCGTTCCTCCCATCCGCTACCTACCTACACTGGCAACACGCCTCAACATTTCTCGTTCCTCCCATCCGCTATCTACTTACACTGGCAACACCTCCAACATTTCTCGTCCCTCTCATCCCCCCTCTACACTGGCAAAACGCCTCGAGCTTTTCTCGTTCATCTCTCCCTCAATGTCCACTGACACACACATCGAACTTTTCCCCTTTCCCCCATCTCTCTCTCTCTCTTTACAATACACACCTCAAACTTCTCCTTGAGGACCTTGATCTGCTTCGCGTACGGCGATATCACGCCGACCCTCCCCGCGATGCCGTGCTCGTCCCCGGAACCCCTCTCGCCGACGCCGCCGAAGGACCGCTTGAGCGTCACGTACACGTTGACCGCGAGCATGGCCTCCATGGGGTTGCTGAGAGAGCCGCCCCCTCCCCTCCTCGTCTGTTCCCCCGTAGTGAGGTCGAAGAACATGAACGGCTGGAAGATCGGGTGCTGCGCGTACGCGTCGACAGGGAGATCCAAAAATCATGCACGTGGCAATGGGCCCGGAGCGGGGGGGGTGCGTTGGGTGGGCATCAGTCGGGATTATTAGGGGGGCAGAGGAAGGGTTCAGGCGAAAATTCCGCGTTAGCGGGGGAGGGCATGGGCCGGCGTTCATTCAGGGGGCTTATTTCGTCGCGTGGGCCACAAGGCAGTCGTCGCTGGTCTCCATTTGCAAAGGACGACTACATCATACCAAATATGTGAGGTATACCGGCGGGCATACCGGACACATTACCAGAACATCACTGGCAAAGAAACGCCGAACGTATCGTTAGCTTCAGCCGAGTTCAGGGCGGTAAAGCAACGAAAACCCACTTGCAGCACCTAACCCGGACCCCAACCAACGAGAACACCATCTGCACTGGACCTTTGACGATGACGTACACAGGTGACAACCAAGCTGATACGGAACGAAAGCTTTTGGCGGCGATGACAAACTGCACCGACTGAAAAACCTAACTGATAACTAGCACGGAATCAAATGGGCGCTGTTCGCATCACAGAACAAACTAAATTGTGCTGAAACAAAAAAACCGTGTCCATTCATACGGAAGGAACAATACCAGCAGCCCAAGGAACACCGAACATTTGATAGGAGCGAGTGAACGTCGTTCAGTCATCACACACCGTTTCGTGCAAAAAAGGAACATCGAGTATATGTATTTGATAGGAAGGAGTTCACATCGTTCACACACCGCAAACCGCTTCGTGTAAGGACGAACGTCGAATATTTCATACGGATAAATGTATATCGTGTATTTCTCCTTGTCTTTCTCTTTTTCGCCCTCTGCCTCTGCTTTTCTTTTTGTTGTTGTTTTCTTCCAGTCTATGGCTACTTCGCATAGCGTGTAGAGGCGAGCGGAGCGTTCTAGAGGAGATACCTGTCGTTGATTCCCATCGACTTGCGGACCCCTCGGGTCCACTGTATTTAGTGTAACTTTTTATGGGTAAGCAAGCCTGTGCCCACGGGATTCGACGACGTCAAATTTTGGACGAGTACGGACAGAAGAATGTGCGCTGCGTAGAGAGAATGGAACGGTGCTTAACGTGAAGACAACCGCAGCAACAACACGCCACAAACCGCTTCGTCTATGGGAGGAACACCGAATATCACATGAAAGTAAGGTCGTTCACGTCACAAACGTTTCTTGGAAGGAACAAACATGGAAGGTTTCATACTATAATAGGAGAGAGCCAATGCCGTCCACACGCCACAAACCATTTCGTCTACGAAGGCACAGCGGATATTCAACAGGAAAAAAAAAAAGCCTTTCACACGCCATACTCGATTTCATATCAGAAAAGAACATCGAAAATTTCATGGGACGGGGTCCATGTCGTTATCACGTCGCCACCGCTTGGTGTAAGGATGAACGTCGACTATTTCATAGGAAGGATTGAACGTCGTGAACACGCCACGAACCGTTTCGCTCAAGAAAGAGACCTCGAATTTCCCATTGGAGTGAGTGAACGTCGTGAACACGCCACAAACCGTTTCGTGTAAGGAAGGAACATCGAACATTTCATAGTAGGGAATGCACGTCGTTAACACGCCGACACCCCTTCATGTAAGCATGGTCGCCGCGTACTTTATGGGAATGAATAAAAATTCGTTTGCAAACCACAATCCGGCCCGTGTGTGGAAGGAACACTAAATATTTCGTCGTAACGAAGTAACGAGGTTTCGTGTAAAGTGAACGACGTTACTCCTTCCTACGAAATATTCGGTGTTCCCTCCGAACACGGAAGAGATTGTGATTTGCAAACGAATTTTTATTCATTCCTATGAAGTATGCTTGCATGAAGAGGTTTGTGGCGCATTAACGACTTGAATTCCCTCCTATGAAATGCTTGATGTTAACCGTTTCGTGTCAGCAAGGAACACCAGGGAACATAAGGAACAACACCTCCTTCATAAGGAAGGAGGGAACCTCAACACGCGCCACAAACCGTTCTCATCGTGAACGGAAAGGACGAAGGACATGCAACTTTTCACAGGAGGGAGTGTGGACGTCAAATACTGGATACTACACACTTTGGTGTTCGTGTCCGGAAGGAACAGAACGTTGGACATTTCATAGGAAGGAATCAAACTTCTTCACACGCCGCAAACCGTCAATTCATTCTCACCGTGTGGAAGGCACGGGAGTAAGCCGGCATGCTGACGTTCCCACCGTCCTTGAGCTTGCCGTCGTAGAACGTTGCGCTGCGGATCAAAGCAGCAGGAGGCAAAAATCACAGACGAGCGTCATCACCCGACCCTTGCGACAAAGCTGCGGATCAAAGCAGCAGGAGGAAAAATCACAGACGAACGTCAACACCCGATCCTTGCGACAAAGCTGGGAATCTACAGTAGCAAGACCGGAGGGGGTGACGGCACGTCTGCGGAATCCCTTATGGCCGTCAAGCTGGTGTTGACACTAGTCTCGGCGCATGTCCCGAAGAGATAAAACCATCATGATTGCTGCATGAACTGAACCATCCCATCATCCTGCTCTCAAGACAATGCCCCGTCTTGCTCTCATGGTTCCAGAGTTTCCTTTACCAACTCCATCGCTGACCAAATACCACCAAACCGTTACCCGTTGGCACGTGACTTCCCTTACTCGTTGGGTCGTCACTCTCCTACCCGTTGGCTCGTCACTCCCTTACCCGTTCGCACGTCACTTCCCTCCGAACGCTTCCTCCGAAAACGTACGTATGTATCTCTCTCCTTTTTATCGGAAGTACGAGGCGCGTCGTCCCCTTCGTCGATGAAACGAGGGGAACCTACTTTCAGATGGCGGTAAAAAAACTCCGCCCTGACTGAATACGGCAGTACAGGCTAGGCTAAAATAGAGGAAGAGGAAGGGGGACCTGCCTGGGAAACGCAGAGATGGTGGGGTGCATGCGGTACTGCACGTCCAGCATTTGCACGGGGTGGTCGTTGGCTTCCAGCCTTTGGAAAAGGCTTCGGTCGTACTGGGACAACTTTCCACCCTGACTCACGAAAAAAAAAGGTGCGATATCAGGGGGTGAAGCGAAGACGGGCACAACGGGAGTGAGTTAAAAGACAAAGGCATTGTGCGATTAGGAAAACCGCGAAGGTGAAGCAGGGGGGGGAGTGCGTCGGCGACAGTGTCGCTCTACGTGAAAAAGTGAAACCAACAATGCCCATTTACATGCAGTTGCGAAGGACCGCGTTTCGTTCCGAACCCACTTGGCGAAAGGGAAAACCTTCAGTCTCCACTTGTAGGTCTAAGCGCGGCTACTGTGCGCCCCGCGTCTGCTTGCACCGAAAGGCCAAGAATGGGATGTTACCGAACGTGTATTCTCCCGCCCCCATCAACAAGCGCATCAGGCCGAACTTACGCCACCGGACACCACACACACGACACACTACGGTCCCATACAAATTTATCAAAACTTCGTAACAGGCCAAATGACAAAATAATTCAAAAACCATAGTATATCTTACCTGAGAGAACACCGTCGCCGGCAGCTGGTTGGGGTCACCCACCAGGACGCAGTGCCTGCAACCCAGCCTGAACGTTGCGAAAACAAAATAAACAAAGCACCATGTGCATGGGTTCGTCGGTGTGGCTTCGAAAAAGACAAAAGTGTCACGACATATTTGTTCAACGTCAAGACCGAAGTATAGTTGCGTCAATTTGTCAGGTAGGTGTAACAATAAGACGGAGTTGGGGTATCACATGTGATTGACGTCAAGACCGAACGATATTTTCGTGAAGTGCTTCCGTCAGTGTGGCTCATAAAAGACTGGCATGGCACTCACTATGTACGCTCGCTTTCATAATTTCGGTCGTACTTTAAGGCGGCACGTTTCATGTGTTGGAAAGACAATTCGGGATACATAAAATAACCTGCAGACAATCATTCTGAGCGAAGAGAGCAACGCCTGATTACCTACCGAAGGGGGATGATTGTGGAGACCTCCACCGATTGCGCGGCCTCATCCACCACCAGAACCTCGAACGGAGATGTCTGGTCCATGCACGGTAGCCCTGACGAGTTGAGCGTGCTGAACACCAGGTGCGCCTCGTCCTGCCAAAACAAACACGGGCAAAAAAAAAGAAAACTCATTGTTCATCCAAGACTGGTGTACTACAAACTGGTGGTGTCTCTCGTGATTCAAATGTCTTGTGTCACCCCTCAACCCTGTTAGGTCGCAGCAGAACCCCCCAGCTAATCCTACCGCACACCTCTTCTTGGGCGCATCAACTAACGATCACCATCCAGTACTCCTTGTTCTGGCGCCGTTCGAGTCCTCGCTCAAGTCTACACAATCAACGATATTCCGTCCCTTGATCCCATCTTCCACCCACTCCAATCCCGTCCCATATAAAATGCCGTCTCATCAAACGTCCTGTCATAGCATCTTGCTCCCATCCTGATCTCATCCCATATACCGGCGCAACTACTGTTGGTGGTGTCACTCACCAGAAGGGTGACTTCCAGGCTTTGCCGCACCGAGTGCTCCCGTGTTTCCGTCTTGGCACGGGCAGCAAACCTGCCGTATGTGACAAGTCAAAGAATGAATCGAGTGAAAAAAACATGGCCAAAAACTACCACAAGGACAGCCTGCACAGCGAGCCAGGGAGTGCGGCGAGTTTATCACGGAATATTAAAAGGGAGAAAGTACCACAACCTACAGAGCAAGCCAGGGAGTGGATCGAGTGAATCGAGGATGGTCAAAGGGAGCAAGTACTCTGCAGAAATGACAAAACAAAACGTGTGCTTTTGCTGTTCTCGTTTCTCGTACTGTCCTGGGAGGTAGGTTCACACATACGGTCGCACAGCAGCTTCATTCGGGGCCAAACGTACGGTCGTACAGCTTCATTCCGAACAGCGCAAGGAAGGGCACGGTTTGCGGTTCCGGGAACGATCTGTGTGCGAAATCAGGGACACTTGTATTCCGAAAGCACAGAAACACTATTATACTGAGTTCAGGGGCACGACGAAGGGTCGCACCCCCTACTACCATACTAGTACGTGGCGCAACGTAGTGGCTGGGTGTGGGGTTAGGAGATGTGGTTTTTTAGTTAGGTGGAGGCGTGTTTTTTTTCATTCAGTGAAAGCAGCAAACATTTCTCCAGCCTCGGATACGAGTCCAAGCTGTGGGAAAAGTCGCTATGACACTATAGCGCCGTGTGATGACCAACGTGTATCTCTACGGTTCCCCGCGCAGCATACAGCGATACACTCCCTGCTGTGGGGGGAAAAACAGGTCCAACAAGACTGGTAAGCAGTCATCCTGTGTGTCAGACTGTTATGTGCTTTGAGGGGGGCACGCGGTTGTGACTCGCAGCAGATGGTTGCTGAGAGCACACGGGTAGGGGGCGTGGTTTTGGCTTGCGTGAAGCATGGTCGTGCAATAGTTTGGGAGAGTGCGGGTTACGGGTGTGGTTTCGTAGTGCACTCACGTTAGGCGTTTGTGCTCCTTGTTGAGGCGCTCGTACTCCTCCAGATCTCTCGTCAGGTGGAACGCGTACGTCTGTCGTTCCACAAGTGACAAGCAACGATGGGCGACACACGGGCGAGAGGCGTCAGTCACAGCACGCGCGCGCGCCCTCTCGAGCATGTTTATCGTCAGCCCCGTCTGACAAAAGCATCATCAAGACTCTCCCGAGACTGAAAACGACGTCACGCTTTATCGTGATCGCTGACGCCTGCCGTACGCCTAGGCGTAAGAGAAAAAAAAAACAATGGAAAAAACGTTATGGTGCTGACTAACGAATAAATGAATTCAGAAGACTTTTAGGAAGCAAGGGCATCCCATGTTTCTGCGGCGCTCGTAAACCAAACAGTACGCGCCAGGCTCGAACAGGGAAAAGTTAAACGAACTTGGCAAAAGGAACGAGCGGTCAGTTGAGAAGCCTCCATTATCAACGTTGTACTCATGAGCCGCTCGTTCGCTCTTTCGGCTGCATCTTGTGCGTTGTTTAGGGGCGGCGCATCGGCCCCGGTGCCCTCCTCCACGTCACATCTCACGTGGCGTGCCCTCTTACAAACCAATACTCAACGGTGGAACTGCGCGCAAGGCTCAGCAAAGCACAAGAGCACAGCAGCAGTGCGGGAGTGCGGGGCAGCAAAGTAGGTCGCAGTGTCCGTTCGGAGAGCGGGGTAACCACTGTCTTTTCGTGTGTGTGGTACACATGTACGTACAGTACAATACCCGCAGAGTTTCCGAATTTCTCATAAAGAGGCAGCGCGCATTACTCGGGCATGACTTCCAACCTCGACCTACCAACGGGCGGCGCCACGAGAGTCTGAGGCACAAACTATGACCTGATTCTTGCTCTCTGCGGTGCGTACCGTGTATTCGGGCATGGATTCCACAGCCACAGTCTCGACGCCGCTGTCCGGAGCAGGCCGCTCGGGAGGCTGGAGGCTGGTCGTCTGCACGACGGTTTCACGCGAACAGCGACAAAAGGCGGGTGTGGTTTTCGACGGAGGCATGGGGCCCGACAATGTAAAACAACTCTGTACATTGAGAGCATGCGAATCTACGGGTTTGCTCCTTGCGAAATTCATTCGGCCAATACAGCACGTACGAGGAAGTATATGTTCGCCGGACGTGGACTGGCCTTGCTTGCCGCTTGGTAGATCCGCGTGTGCGCAAACGTAACACAATGATGAGTCAACCATAGCAGAAAAAAAAAAACAGCTCCAATCAACAAACCGACCTAGTAATCTGACAACCAAATTTCTTCACGACCCCCACAAGCGAAACACAGGATAGGGTCATGCCGTGCGGCCTCTTCTTCCTGCCTGTGCGGCCCCCGATGATGCACCCAGAAATACGCCCAAAGGCATCACGACTGATGATGACGTCTGCAATGAAGCAAGAGACAAAAAATGAAGAGATGAAAACAAAAAAACTCCAGTACAGGTCTACCGACTATCTCTGCGCCCGATAGGTATGTATAAAATAGTACCATTTCTGACCTGATTGTCGTGGTTTACGAAGAACACAGTGAAGGTGTTCCGGTCCACCCTAGCCTCCCAACCACGGGGAACCTCATGCTCGACCCCCTGCACGACACGACACGATATCATTCGACGTCCCGTGGAACGATGGACGACAGCGTTCGTCGCATTTCAATCGGCGTTGGAACACAAGGAAAGTTAGGGTAGCGCCCCGTACAAAGTTGGCGTTTGGCACTTCTCGCTTCAAAACTGACAGTCCCGCTCGTGATCAAAGCGTGGTACTGAAGGAAACGCCAACCTTCCGCGAGAACGAGACCAATCACCGAACCTATTCCGACGTACGTGATCAAGATGATGCGCCCACAAAAATGCACCACGACAACTATTACTACTGTAGAACACCCCAGCCATGGTTGCAAAATGCGGCTCTAACCATCACACCAATACAAACAAAAAACGCGTCCGCAATTGCTGTACATGTCGAGTTGATTCATTTCGCTGTTTCCTAAACTTCGGTTTTGGGAAAGAACTTCTGAAGCAAGCATCTACTCTACTCTTATGTATATGTAGTCAAAACCGTCCGTGACAACGTTTCGGTTGAACGACAACGCACACTTACAAGAGGGACAGAGAAAACACGTCTCTCCACGGCGGAAATCCGGAAACGGAAACCCACCTTGATGAGAACCCTCAGCAGTTCGAGCGACCTGCCGATCATCTCGCGGAGCTCCATCATCCTCATGCTCACCCTCGCCAGACGATCGCTCAGCTCCTGCACTGTCTGCCCCAGCGCCGCTCTCACTTGCGACTGGAGGTGGACGGCATGCACCCTGCGAGAGAGGGACGAAACAACAATTGACGTCACGTTTCGCACGAACGGGCATTCGTATTTCTTAATACCACTCGGATCAAGCCTCTTTTCGACACTTGGTGCCAGCTTGGGAGCAACAACATGGGAAGAGCGTCGTGTTTCGACGTGGAACCATGTAGAAATAACTGTTCACGTAAACTTCGGCGATGACCTGACATTAACTTCAAGTGAGAGGACGGGCGCAAAGCAGATCCCCTGTCCCCTATACTGTCGAAACGCCTCCTCCGCAAACCGACCCGCCCACGACAGTCGTTCGAGCAGGCCTAGGTAACACCTTGGGGCGGCTTTGGTCGTACGGCTTGGCTGGGTAGGCTAGGGAAGGGGCAAGCGTCATGCATCATCACGTCCGGCACCTCACACGGCCGATTCTACCACTTCACTCTTCTATCTCTGGCTGGGAGCTGGCGCTTGCAAACGTTGAGCTTCCACGTTGGTTTCGAACGGTCTCGGATTCTGAATTCTGTATCTAATCGTGAATAACTATCACAACATTGGAAGAGGAAACGTATGCATGGGTATGAATTCACTTCACAGCGCGAACAACATTGCAGGGTGCATGCACTCCGTAAACGTGTGGATGGTGGATCGATCGCACCTCCAAGATATAGGCCGACAGAAACAAAAACAGGGTGATCTTGGAAAGACCTCGCTAATGAGCTTCCTCGTACGTAACGGTATTGGTCGGTTTTCGCGACATCGTGGGTCCAAGGTGCTTTCCAGCTTGTACTTTGGTCAATAGGGTGTGGCGCAACAATCATGGTCGACCGGTGCATAGCTTCGCTCGAGACAAAGCTCCAACATATGTTGCGATGAAACATTGTTTCCAAACGCGGGAGTACATTACCACATTCATGGAATACTTCCACGGTACACACGATACATGGTACGGTACAATGTACTCACTGGCTGCCGATGTTGCCCGTCCCAACGCGAGCCATGGAAGGGTTGTACCGGTTTGTGTTGCCTGGCACGAACGTAAACGATTTCGTGAACAAGAAATCGATGTGTGTGGAGAGCTGCAACACCGAGAAAGCGAATGAACGATAATGACCAAACAACGTCTTGGTTGGTAATGGCATTTCTGCCGTACTTGGTTCAGCGCGTGGCCATGGACCTCTTTGTCGAGCTCGTAACGGACCTGCGGGTTACTCACGAAAACGGCAATCAATCCAATTGCATCCACCGCCAGCACCAACGGCACCCCCATACGACAGCTACAACAACGCCATACATCGATGAGGATCGCAGGAAGGGTAGTGCTCACCGGCAGACATGTTGCAAGAACATCAAGACAGAACATCAAACAAGAAACTAACCGTACTCGATGAGGATTGCAGGCAAGGCCGTGTTCACCGGCTGGAACTCAATTTAGAGAACAACACCGAGACCAACACGGAAAGTCAAACCAAAAAAAAAATGGAATGGAAGACGAGGACACAACGACAACGAAGACGTCTCGTGGGTCTAACCGTACCATCTAGAAACCCCTCTTCGAGGATGCGGGAAACGATGTTGTCCACTGCCACGTTTGAAGGAGCCGTCACCAAGATGTGCGGGGCAAAGTTCTCTGGCAAAGCGACATACGGAATGGAACGAGATGGGATGGGATTAGATGGGATGGGATGGGTGTCACTGGGGTGGGATGACGTGCCGTGGCATGGGATCGAATAGCACAGGGAAAACAAAAAGGTTACCCAGCAACAAAGGGCTGTAGCTAGGCAACACACGTTATGGGATGGGATGGGGTTCGCGAGGGAGGGGTGGCATCCAGAGGCACGGGATGGTATTAGATAGGACCGGACGGGACGGGATGGGATTGTCTGGCTTCGGAGACCAATCGGTGAGAGGGGCACGGTCGCCCGCGAGGAATACTTGCCGTGAGGAACGTGTACGTAGTGGTTGGTCGGGGGTTACGTCCTCTTTGAAAAGGAGGCCACGGGGAAAACAACGGAACTCACATGAGCAAAATCACACCTCACTCAACAAACAATGGAATGAATTCCCAACAACAGAACACATACTCAGCATCCTTCGGGAAGCACGAACTGGACATCCACAAAACCAAGAATCGCATTGAAACACCTATACGTTACACATCGGCACACACTCAAAATTCACTCAGAAAGCACAAGGGCCAAATCGACATACCCCAGCATCACAAAGAAAAAAACACGACGTGTACATCAGCACTACGAATATTCACTCCGGAACAAAGGGAGTGATCGATGATTCACATCGGCGTGTACCTAAATTTCAATCAGAAAGCACACAGTACTCATCAAAGCAACCACAGTACTTACTCATCAAAGTAACCGAGAGTCGCCACTAGGAGGCACTTCACATCACACACCCAAAAACAATCAGAAAGCACGAAATCCGCATCGAAACCAATCTGGAACCACAAACTCACTCAGTCGCTCCCACGCGGCAGGAGTCTCTTCAGGAGATACCCTAGCGAGCTGTAGCAGCTTGTCATAGTACCGGTTATACTCGCGCTGATGAAGCGCGTTGAGAAGGGCCTTCAACGTCGTCGTCTTGCCCGTTCCTGACCCGAAAAAAAAACGCACACACACACCAGTGAAAATGTGAACATAGCTTCAGCGGAGACTGCTATCGTTTATTGACTACAGTTATGTTATTGGTCGGAAGAAAAGCAAGCCCGCCCCCGCGAGTGTTGAGGTTGACTTTGAGTTGATTGAGGCGTGAGGGAGGTTTGCATACTTTGGCGCGGTCGTATGTAGGTCAGTCACCAGTTGTCACCTGGAGGACCCTTGATGAGCGTGAAGCCCTGGCTGTTAGCGCCTTCTTCAATGGCCTTCTTCTGAGACCTGCCCAAGCGAAACAAAAAACGACAACCCTAACGTCAACGTCAACAACAGAGGTAGCGCTGAATGGAGCTTTTTAAGGGCGTCAACGCAATCTTTACCAAAACGGACCAGCAAATCAATCGTTCTCTTGCTTTTTCGGTTTTCGCACCCGATCTCATCCTTAAACTCTTGACGAAAAGAAACAAAACAGCACGGTCGAAGAAACAGGTCGAGCAGGGTTGTCAACAAAACGAGAAACGAACCCAAATTGTTGCTCCTATGAGCAGTGCGGCAGCCGTGCTCTGGCAAAGCTTTGGGAATTCATCTCACGAGTTGAATTTGTTTTCGAGCCACTGGACGAAAGGCAGCCCGAGGTTGTCCACCAGGTTTCCCGTAGACTGAAATCAGCGCGGGGGGGAGGGACGAGAACAATGCTGAAGTGCGGGGGGACATGGCGAACAATGCTGGGGAACACTTAGATAACAAGACGGGGAGACATTGCAAACCAATGCGGGGGAACACTTAGTCACAACACGGTGAGACAAAGTGAACAACGCGGGGGGACATCAAGAATAGAAAAAACGCAGCCATTGAGACCAATGGGGGGGGAGACGTTGGGGACAATGGAGCGGGCGCGTTGACAACTATCGAGAGCCAAAGCAGAATGAAAGGGTACCCGCGGACGGAGCGAAGAGGAGAAAAACACCGGGGGGGGTATTGAGAATGGTGGAGAAAAACAAAGAAAAGACGAATAAAATATCAGCATGCCTGTAAGGTATCTGTCTCCGCTCACGATAACACCAACTATCGTAAAACGCAAATCGAAGCAAGGAATGCAGGTTGTGAATACCCAATAGACAACCAGGGAATCTCACGATCCAAAAATAAGTGTGGACGGGAAGGAGGAAACATGAAAAACGATTCGTAACACAAGGAAATCGCATTTCATGCTGTTCAGGTTTCCGGGAGGATACGTGGACGGTCTTCGACCTGAAGCGGAGGCGGAAGATATGCTCTCTCTCCCTCTTTCTCTGTCTATCTATCTATCTCTCCTTCTGTCTTTCTCTGTTTCTATCCATCTATCTATTTACCTATCTCTCTCTCTGTCGCTCTCCCTCTCTCTGTGTGTCTCATCAATATCTATCGATCTATCTGTCTCTCTCTCTCTCACCCCGCCAGGCTTCCCCGTGAGTAGGTTGGCCCTAAGCATGACCCTGCCTAGCCCCGTGACGGAGTCGTACTCCCTCAACGTGGGCCTCAGGGATCCGAGCGACATAATGTACATGGCACGGTCCTGCGGACGGTGGAGCTTGACCATGTTGATGCTATGTAAGAAAGAGAGGTAGGCAACGCAAGCACACGGAGATATGCAAGGTTGGTTCAATTACACAGGGTGTGTAAAGGGGCGGGCATACCCATGTTTTGCATGCCTTGGTTGTTGTTAGACCGTGCCATGGTAGTTGTTAGACCATTGGGCAGGCGTCCTCGAGAGGGAGGAGGGGGGCAACCGGTTCGTGCGTGAAGAGGACGGGAACACCGAAAAACGAGCAGACAGAACAACACACACCAACCGCATGAAGAGCAAGTGCAGAAAAGATGACCCAAAGTCAAGATAACTACAAAATAAGCAGGAGGAACTGACACGCCTTGTACTCCCCTCCTGCACAGACCTACCACCACCAAACCGCGTTGAAAACACTGCGCCTGGATCCCAATTAACGGGTTACCCACCCACCCACCCACCCAACACGTTTATCTGAATTCATATTACGGCGCCCCTATCAGTCACCTGACTCTGACGGCAAGACCCTCTCTCGTTCGAGATGACGACGAAACAACTCCTAGAAACCCGTTCGGGCTCTGTTCATGTTCCGTTCCACAAATCGTTCCACGGGTTTCAAAGATTCGTCGGGTGGTATCCCGGGTTTCCCGTAGTCGTCCCGTGCGCGTGCGGGATGCGGGAACAGCGTCCGTTGTGGGGCAAGAAAAGATGGCAGCGAGCAAACAAGCAGGCGTCAGAAAAGGCAGCAGCGGCAAAAGGTAAACGGCAAGGAACAGCTTAGGCCCAAGACAGGAGGACAAGTACTTATCGGGGCCACAGAAGCGAGACATCCAGACACCTCTACACCCTTCGTGACTAGCGCCGAGCGCCGGCGAAGGCCTCTTTGAGTAACCCGCCTCTCTCTGTCCGAGTCAAGGAGTTGCTTTCTGAGCTACATCAACAGAGAAGAGAAAGCAACAAGAGTATCGTCGATGACGGCAACGGCAACAACAGCGCACCCGTGCACCCTTTCCGCCGATGGCCTTCTTCACGGCATCCGGCTCCACCATGAACATCACCAGCTCGTGCTCGGTGAAGTTCTGAAAACGGAGACGAAAATAGGGGAATATGTACTTGGTTGACGGAACCTTGCAAAAGTCGACCGTCTAGCATCGCTGGACCTCGGCTGCACGCCACACAAGAAGGCGATTAGAGTAAGATTTGACAAAAAAAAAACGAAAAAAACGAAAAATGCGAAACACAAGCGTGGTCGCGGGGTACCAGCCATGATCTGCAAGAACCTGTCTCTTTGTCTGACTTGCGGTGCATCGTTTGGCTCGATTGCATTCTGTTTTTCTGGGTTTTCATTTTCCCCCGGTCCCCCTTCTTTCGTGCTCGAACCAATAAATGCCTGATGCGATCTACCACCTCCCCCGCCTATGTAGCCCCGCCAATTCGGCGCCAACACTCTCACGGCTCCAAGAAGACGCACACGTACCTGGGGGCTACCCCCACCCTTATCCTTGACTGGCTTCCCGGCGCCCAGCGCGCCAAATTCCGGGTGCACATCCGTCAGCTTGAGGTCGGAACGGCCAGACGTTACATTGGGTGAGTCCGTCAACCGTATCGGGAGCACCCTAACGATGAGGCAATTTTCGATACAAATGTGGGGGAGACGGAGGAGGAGGAGGAGGGGGAAGGAGGAGTTGAAAACAGAGGTATCTAGTCGAGCTGGCATGATGCCTTTGCGTTTGGTTCGATATTCGAGTGGGCCTGATACACCGTTTTTCCGGGTCTGATCAAGCAGCTGTTCCTGGGTGTTGGGGTGGGCCCGAAGATTGGCGATCAAACAGACCAAAATCCATGTCAACAGACTAGACTCTATGGCGAGATGGCCCGTACAATGAGGGAGGAACCCCCCCCCTCAGCAACCCCCCAACGCCAGGGCCTCATAACGAGGAAGGAACGCCTCCCCAATAGAAAATCCGGCTGGAAACCGTGCCCAGTGCCTCCGGCCCTACTACAGAAATTATCATTCCTAGGTGAGAAGAGGACGCTTGTATTGAAAAGACCGAGGGGCCTCCCGCACATGTCTGAGGCGGCTAAGCCACCCCTTCCCACCGCGCGACAATCTGGCATGAATGCTCCGCAACGCTACCGCGCGTACAAGTGCGAGGTTTTCTCCTTTCTCCTGTCAGACGTCCGATGCACGCAGCCCCGACCCCCCGGTCTCCTCTCTCTCTGTTGCCGAGAAGGGGGGGAGGGAGGTGCTCGCCCCAGTACTCTCCGCTAGAAGAGGAGAGTCTACGTCAAAGCTGAGACCCACATTTCTTTCTGCCAGCCGTCTGATCCGCACAGCTCGCTGAGAGTCTGCGCTCTCACTTCTCTAACCAGTAGCGGTGTCCAAACCTGCGCGTAGGTCGGGATATGATAGTAGCGGTGGGAGGGGGGAGGGGGGGGGTACGGGGCAACACATTCAAACTTTGATCACGTTTGGCCAGAATAAACAAAAGCAGGCCGAACCTATGCGGAGCGCCCGATCGCACGCCAGGCTGGGGATAGGGGCAGAGAGTGCAGAAGGCATCAAGGGTGTGTGCTTAGCAGGCAGGGGGCAGAGCGCTCTCTCGCTACGACCGATGGCCTCACACCTACAAGAGCACGGCAATCGCATGTGCCGAGGGAAGGCTACGCCGTCCAGCGGCCTTGCGATCTTTCATTGGACGACTTCGATCATACACAGGCTGTTCGACCTCAATCCGGTACATCCCATGTCCCGTGCTGAGCGACCCGGTTCGGGTCGAATCCCATGGTATGAAGCCAACAACCGACGGGGGTGCCGGGTTACCGTTAACACAAGCGCAAAACAAACCAAGAGCGATTGCAACGCCTACTATTGCTGCGGTGGCCAGTGACAGCCAAGACTCACCCTGGCGTACTCCTGCGCGGACTGGAAGGAGTTTGGCACCGTGATGTTCGGCAGGCCGCAAGCTTCCTCCCAAGCAGCCCTGGAAAACGGACACAACGACGACGAGACAATTGCACGAGGACGAAAAAGATAAACAAACTAATATATGCAAAACACTTCGAGCATATGTATATGCACCAATAACCCCGGCAAGTGATATTTCTATACTCAATATATGTTTGCACCGATCACCCGGGCGAGCGTTTGCCTCGCAGGTGGATACCAATATGGATCGGGAAAAATCAGACGCACCAACGCGCAATACAATAGCCCCGCAGGAAAGTATTATTTGCTTTTCGTCCTTGACAACCCAAACTCGAAAAAAAACAAGAAATGAAGAGCCAAAATGACTACTACCGGGAAACGTCGAAACACCCCGAAGGCTGTAGGTTGACTATCATTACGAATGAGATCCGACGTACACACAGACACCGCCAATGGAGGCAACAAGAAAAAAAATGCGAAAATTTGGGGGGGGGGGTCCCATCACCCCCCACCCGTCGGCATTGTTATCAGACGTTCCGCACGTGCATCATGGAGGATCATGGGGATCGATCAACACGCTGGACCGTTCGCCGTCATCACAACAGAAAAGGGCAACAAGAGGAATCACGGTCTCACCGTCAACATCAGCACAAGCAGCCACAACGGCACCGAACCACGCGGAGCAACACCACCATCCAACCCCAAATACCGGCAATAAAAATCAAAGAGGCAAGAGCTCGCCTGTTCCCGTTGGCCTCCGCGTAGAGCTCGCCAAAGATGTCCCACTCCACCACCCCCTGGACGAAGTGATCCAGCGTGAACGTCTGCACATTGGCGGGAGTCCTACGCTGCTGCTGCAGCGCCGCCTTCGCGCGGTCCCTGTTGCTCCTATCCTCTGCCGTACCGCTGCTACTACTACCACCGCTGCTGCTGCCACCACCGCTGCCTCCCCTGGCTACTGCAGGCAACTTCCGGGGCCCGGCACTCGCTGCCCCTGCCGTCTTCTTACCCCCGCTGGCCCCAGCACCACCTTTGGCGGATAGATCGCCGGCGCTGTCCATGCTGCTGCTGCCGCTACTGCTCCCACCGCTAGCACTCCCCCCCGAGGAAGCTTGGGCCTTGGGTCGTCGCCTCTCCGTGCTCTTCTGATGCTCCTGTTGATGTTTTTCATCGAGGATGATGAGGAGTTCATGGATGACGAGGCGTTATCTATCTTGGCAAAAATATGTCCTTGACACCAGCTTCGGTAAAATCTAGGATTGCTTGTTCCTTACAAAGCAGCCGGGGGTCCTTTTGCCCGTATTCCACCTACATGTATCCACCTTGCTGCTATGTACTACCGCCAATCCGTTTGCTCGACTCACGGATGTGGTTCGGGTACGCTGTGTTTTCAACGAGACACGGAAGCTGGTACTCCATTCCGCTTCGATCGTTCCGTCAGAGCACCGGGTTTTCCATCAAAGGTTGATACAGACCGCGTGCGTTTGGAAGGTTCGCGGCGTCACCACAAATGGCCCATCTTATCACGTCGAGTTAGTTCATCTGCAGCAAGTGTGCTACACCTCGCCTAAATACATGTCAGTGCGAGAGGCATGTTAACAGGAGACACAGGACGTGCTTAGACTCTATAATAGGCACACAAAGAAACGCCGAAGCCGTTCATCGCCGAGTCAGAATAAGTTGGTCAAGGGAGGCAGGCTATTAATAGGCCTACACAACGAGAAGGACGACTCCTATTAAGTCTGGGCAGAGACGGGTGACCCGCGTGCCCGCGTAAGCCAATGTACTGCTGCCGAGAAGGCAACGGACCCTCCTCTCATCCCTCGAGGGAGGAAACGGGGGTCGTCGGGTGCGCGGACAGAGACGGCATTGTTGGCCCGAACGAAAAAGTCGGCAGCGTTTTCTATTGGTCAAGCATTCTAGAGGGGCCAGCGGTGTTACGGTCAAGAGCCGCTGAGCCTTTCATCCCCGGTTCCCGATCTGAAGCGCGCGCGCGTGACTTCGATTGGTACGTCCGAGGTATGTATATTCGTATGTATGGTATCATATATATTAATCATATACAAGTATGTTCCAGATCATGTAACGTTCAGCCAACGGGAACGGGAGCGTTGTTCGCGGATTGGTAACGACGGTGCAAAATGCGAAAACCGCAGCAGCACGAGCGGCTACGGGATTCAGTTTTCGGCAGCTTCTGGTTTGCACGTCCTCGGTTATCCCCATGAGCATGGCTGCTGCTAGGTGCGCGTGTAAGCTACGAACGTCGGTGGTGTGATCAAAACCCCGTTGTGGGGGGCGGGCCCAAGGACGCGGACGAACTCTCCTTCTGTCAGCATGATCTTCGTTGGAGAATACAGAGAAAAACGATTTGAGACGAACATCACTGCTGTGCTCTCTGGGGTCTACCTCCATCGCGAGCCAAAGGATCTCGTGTCCACCAAACGACTCGTGATACTACAACGGCAGTGGTGATCCTATCCCATTCGATATTCGATGCCTCTGCAGTACCGCAGTAGCAGTACAAACTTTGGGAACGACCATCTCCCATCGTTGAAACATTGATATACGAAGGATGCTACACTACAGCGGGCCTCCCTACCTCGGCCAGCTTCTTCTCGCGCATTTTTCGCGCATACTCGGCCACCTTATTGGACGTCATCGTGCCCGGTGCCTTCCGCCGAGGCTGGCGTGCCCTACGGACGGCTGCTGTCTCTCTGCGTGCCTGCTGTGTTTCGCTGTTGCCTTGACGAATTTCTTTCTGCGTACCCCCTTTTCATGCCCCGTGTTGAAACCGCGAACTGTCAAGGGTGGAACTCCTTTCTTGTGCGTTGCCCCCTCGCGTCCTCCGTCTCCGCTCTATGTCGCTGACCACTGACCACCGCACGCACCACGTGCTTGCATTGCCACCATAACGCTCGAGGCGACCGCGCCACACTACACAGAAAATTTTGTAAGTATCCGGAGCGGGCGAGAGCGAGAGGAACAACCCTACCCATCCACCCGACCGATCAGCTGGTGTCGGGTCGTCCCGTGCGTTGACGCGCTTCTACTTTCGGAAAAGAAAATATTGGCAGCAAGGTTCAAAGTTCAACTTTTTTAACCGTCCGCGCTGCTGGTGTTGGGGGGCGAGGAAAGCAGGTAAGAGACATCTGGAGCTCCATCGGCTGCTCTGGAGCTGAACGTGAATGGGGAATACGGCGGAGAGGCTGCAAAGCACCGCCACCGCGAGGATAATCTACCCTGAGGCCAAAGGTGAATAACAGCAGCTGTGGGAGTGGAAGGGACGGACGGCCTCACACGACTGCTGTTGTGTTTCAATGTTCCTTGTTCTTTCGGAGTTGGTGCGTTGTGTGTGCAGGATCATGCGCAATTCTACCTCGGAGATTGCGACCGCAGGGTTGAAGCACCACGCAGAAACCGGCCGTGGGAGTCCGACCGCATACAGCACAGACAGAGAGCCGTCTCTGGTGTTGATGTCGTATACGCGGGGGGCGGCGAAAATTGTGCTGCGGAACGGTCGAAATGTATCTTCCCTGGTAGCAGTCGGAAGACTTTTGCCGCGAGGGTGGCTAAGCAGCAGCAGTTTGGGGGGGCAGCTGGTCAGCAGTGTTGCCACTGCCACGTTTCCCGCAATCTGTCGTGCTTGAAGGAGCGCTTTATGCATCTGTAATTCTCTGCGAGAAGGTCAAGCCGGAGAAGCGCAGGCACGGGTTAGGGTGCACGATCCACCCAGCACGCACGCACGCGACAACGGCAGCAGCATAGCAGCAGCATTTGCAGCATATCCGTATATCCGTAGGATTGGTGGGATCTAACCGTTCGGCCTGTGGTCGGCAGACCGTGAAGAAGCTGCTATGTGTGCATTTGTACGAAACGACGTTGGGCGTTCGACACACGACACACCCAGCAGAGCAGGGCCGTTGCAATCGCCCGCATGTCTCGGCTCTTGGCAGTGGAAATGGAAGTACCTACTCCGCTCTCTCGTAGTATTGTACCCATGGGTAGAACTAATCAAAAAGCGAAGGAAGCACTTTGGGAGCCAGCCCCACCGCCAGAGGAGTGTGGTTCTTGGTTGAAAGGCGGTGAAAACATCCACGGTACACAGCTTTGCCGCTCCCGTCTATGTCCGCGTGGTGTCTCCGAACCGCCACAGCAGTGGATCTTTGCGGCAAAGCCTCTCGCAATCCTACACAACTTTTTCGCGCACATGTCTTTTTACTTGCCGTCTCTTCTGCTTCTACAGTAGTACCCTGCGCACTACCCTGTAGCTGTTCAACTTGTGAACTTTCGTACTACTCTGTAGTACTGTAGGGAGGAGGTTTTCGATTCACGGCCACAATCGACACATTCATACATGCCCCTGAACAAGGATTGCTGTAGTGTAAGCAGCAGATACGTATCCAAATGTATCTGAAGATCCGAAGACTGCTTGGTACAGGCGGTGCGGTTTGTCTGGATAGGCCACAAGTTGCGGCACGTTTGACTGTGCGGACACTACGTGACAGGTGCGTTGTTCGCGTTAGACCTGCGTACCATCAACCATGTAGCTCACGGAAAATCACCGTTGGGCACTCCACTTGCCGCTGTACAGAGCACGCGCACACCGTGCTTTCCTGCCCGACCGTGCCTCTTCGACCGCATTCCCGACACGCTCAATCCATCGCCAAAGGTTTGAAGGTTTTTGATGATTCTCTGTCGATATAAGCGGGCAGTGTTCAGCAGGAGCATACCACGGTGGACCAGCAATCCGTGCGAGGGATGACCCAGTCCCATGAGGTTAAATTCATCAAGCCTCATGAAGAAAGAAACACAGGATATGCGTGGTCCCGTAGTTATCTTTTCAACATGTGTGAGTGCATCGCGACCATGAGCTGTTTTCTACAATGTGTGCGAAGGGTGCGCAGCATTTTCCGGTGGGAGTGACTGACTGCTTGTGTCGCCGCGTCGACATTCGGCCCGTGCTGGCAGTATCAAAACATCCATCAAAGCTTGTAAATTATACGAACAAGCGTCAGCCAAGAAGTGCAGGAGTAAAGGTTTTTGTCTGTTGTCTGCTACAGCAGGTGATATGATACGTTCATCCCCGGACAACACCCACCACATTCTTTGCTGCAAAATAATCTTGTCGCTGTTGCCCATTTCCAACCCTGTTCTACGTGCGACATACATACCCGCGCTCCCACTTCTCCGTTTTCAACCGCCAACCTCCCCCGTATCCACCTCCTTATCCGCTCCGATCTATTATTTTCATCATGTCCGGGTCCCATCTTCTTTCACACGTCTCATATAATTTTCCTTCTCGCTCTCCCCTTGCGTCCCACACGGCACCGCTCGACGATATCCCAGGGTCTCCGAGGGTACCACGGCCCCCGTCCGCGAAGGTTGGGCCCGTAGACCAATCACCGGGAGGGAGGCAACGACGCAACTAATCGAAACAAGACGCTCTTCCGCAGGCGTCTCCACGACCATCCGCCGCCGCCGAAGCTCTTCGTGCCAACCTATTTCTCCGCTCCGAAGCGCGGTGGGGCCCGGCTGAAGCGGCGGCGAGGTGGTGTATGCAGGAGATCCCAGCCGGGATAATGACTACCACCGCTCCCGCTATGGCCGCGAAGAACCTGTCGGCAGCAGCAGCAGCAGCAGCATTCCCGGATGCGTCCTCCGTTTCCCCGAACCGATCGCCGGACACACCGGGCGAAGGGGAGACCGATGAGCCGGTGAGGAAAGTCGCACCAAGATCCGAGGTGGCGGCGGCGGCAACGGCATCCATCGGCGGTGGCCCCCGGGCGGCGGCGGCCGGGCCCGCCGGCGACCTACAAGCCCAAACGGCGACGCCTGTCATGCCGGCGGCCCCGAATCAGGATGTACCATGCAACGGTTCGAACGGCGGGGGCGTTCCGGAGGTTGGTGCTGCTATCGGTCCGGTGCGCCAGAACGAAAGTGGGATCCGAGAAGAGGGGGCCCGTGAATCACGTGAGCAGGGGGCGTTCTGTGATGAGTGGAGGCCGGTGGCGCTGGGGGTGGGGCGGAAAGGCGGTAGCGGAGGAGGGGACGGAGACGAAGAGCGGGACAAGTGTGGGAGCAAGGTGGCCGCAGCGGGGACGTCTTTCTCTGGGCCACACGGCGGAAGGGCGGCAGCGTCGGGAGAACAAGCTTCTACGGGAGCAACGGCGGAAACAGCAGCGGCATCAGGCGCAGAGACCTCCTCTCCCTCGGTGTGGGATCTCGACTCGCTAGACTTCGAGGAAGAGCAAGATCAAGAGATGGAGGAGGCCCACACGGACGGCGACCACGAGTCAGAAGGGGTTGGGTGCAATCGGCGAACCAAGCCGGAGAGCCACAACAGCAGGCGGCAAGACAGAGGCAGGAAAATCACGGCCACCCTACAAGCGAACCACCAGGAGGAGAACATAGGCGGCGACGCGAATGGACCCGCCGGCGCCGACGAGCGGCCACGAAAAATCGCCCGTGCCGGGGTTTCCATTGCCGAACGACCCGCAGGCGGAGTGTCCGCCGCCACCGCCGCCGCCGCCTCGATTGTACTGACAGGACCGACACCAATCCGCCCGGTGGCAGATTGTGGTATCCTCCGCACGCAACCGCTCGAGTCGGCCAACAAGAAGCTAGAGTCTGGTGAGAAGGGTGATGGTGGCTGTGGAGGAGGGGGAGGAGGAGCGGGGGCGGCAGCCGCTGCGGTGGAGGCGGCGGCGGCAGCGGTGGCGACGGCGGTGCCGTACAACCGGGCGAGGGAGCTCATGCCGCCCCCGCCGCCCAACATCACCCGCGCCAAGATGCGCCGCCGCAGGTCTCGAGTGTCCCTGATGCACTCCGCAAGGTAAGGAAAAGGCACGACGACAACGACAACGACCGCGGTGTTGATCGGGAGGGGTTGGGGGCGGGGGCGGAAGACGTGGTACGCAGAAGTAATCGTTTTGTTTTTTTTTCGTTTTGGATATTGATTCTTCGTCTGCAGAAGCATGCAAGGATGGATTATGCCTCTGAAGCCTTCTTCCCTCCCTCCAGTGGTCTTGGACGTGTACGCCTCACCCGCCGTGTTTGTTTTCTCCCTCTGGTTCGGTGATTTGCAAGCACGGAGAGAGCAGTGGCCCCATCTCCGTTCCAGCCGTCTTGTCCTGCGAAAATGGGACAAGTGCCGCTGTCCCCCGGTTGTCTATGTCCAGGACAGGACAACCCTGCTGTCCGTAGTTCGTGCTACCCGCACTCCTGCCACCGCATCCTTTTCACACACCCGCCAACCGTAGCTTCAAGAGTCTTGCTTGTTCGTCTGATGTTTCTGATGTTCCTGTCGCTCCTTGATCAAGCGCGGGACTCCTTCTACGCCAGCTTCCCCTTGGTTGTGTTGTCGCATGAAATTGCGCCGCCTCCTTGAGAGGCACGGTCTCCGATTTCACCGATGTGTCATATCGATCCCTACTACTCTGCTTGCCTCCTCCACGTCCGCTGCTGCTGCTACTGCTACCGCTGCTGCCAGCTTTAACGCTCGCCCGACCGCTGTGTCTGCCGCCTCTGCTCCGGCAGGTACCAGCGACTGTGCGGTCTCCTCGAGAGGCACAACCGGCGGGACGACCTGCTGTACGCTATGCTCGGGGCGTGTGGCCTGCCGGAGAGGCTCAGCATCGTTGCCCCAGCCAGAGCGACCGACGTCCACCTTCGCGCCTACCACGACAGGGACTACGTCGAGGTACCCAACGAAGCACCTTCTATTGCCGTTACAACTTCGACTCTGGCCTTCTGTAAATTGCCCGATGCACGAAGAAACACGTACCGGGACAAGGACAAAGTCGAGTTGCGGTAGACGCGTAGAACACCTTCATGCTGGTGCAGCTTCGACTCCTGCCTAGTTTCCCCGACGCACGTGGAAACATGACCGCGGCCGTCTCTTGGGGGGCCGGCTGAATCACTCCGCACCATTGTATCGCACCACACCACCCCTTGTCCAGGCTCTCCGAAATGCTCCGTCGGATGTGAAGACTCTGGACGAATACGGCCTAGTGGAGGACTGCGAGGTGAGAAGACGGGAGGAAGGTCCGGTTCACATGAACCTATCTTTTTACGGCCATACTTTCAACGCGTGGTCTTATTGTCTACTGCACAGTATACATGATCTCGAAACCTAACTCAAGATCTGGAGTCACTCCAAGAAATTTCCCTGGTTGTTTTTCTGCTACAACAAAACTTCCATCTCTCAGCTATCTTTTTTCCTTCTCACGGCCGGTAAATTTGCACTGCGTGTGTATGTTTTTTTTTCGTTAGCCATGGCAACCTGAGTCTGCTGGGGATGGTTTCGCTTGGTCTGTAAGCTAGCTCGTGTCGGCCTACTTGATGTCGATGCTGTTGGCGCCGTCAGCAACAAGAAGTTTAGACGCTCTTGTACCCTGTCCAATTTCGCTACCTGCTCTGCCCTCTTGCCGTTTATTTTTTTCCCAGTATTTTCCCCTACTTTGAGTCTAGTTATTTCATGCCATATCATTCCCCCCTCCGTGTATCCGCCCAGGTATTTGAGGAACTGTACGAGCATTGCTGCGCCGTGGCCGGGGCCTCTCTACACGCCGCCGATCGCCTGTGCAGGGGGGACGCAGACGTGGCCATCAATTGGGGGGGTGGCCGGTGAGAGAAAATATCATGCTCGCACTTGTATCCTATGTACAGTAGATGAGTCGAGCGTGGAGCAACGGTCACTGTTGATTGGCTTGCTGTTGTTGTGGATACGTAGCCGCATTCCCGCCCGGTACAGTTGACGCCGGCGTGGTGGCAGTGAAGAACTTCATGTTCACCGTTACGTCAGGACTCAAGAACTTGAGCACCATTTGTGAGCCCGGTTCCGAACCCTTTCACTAAACCTGTACAACTGCAATACAAAACAACCTACCAAAATACAACTACACTCTAACCTACAACTGCACAAAAACCTGCCAGATTACAACTACACTAAACCTATACAACTGCCATTTGGAGTCTAACCAAACGAACTACTGAAGAACTCCAGTACTCTACTCGCCAATCCTTGAGGTTCGCAGGTGCCGGCGCTAGCTGTACCGCGACATGGTTGTCTTCTGTCCAAAAGATTACTCCGAATGTGGTATATTCTCCGAATATTATGGTGCTACGAGTATTGTACATCAGAGATGGACGAAGTCACTGCACTGCCTCTACACATCGCTGGAGTTGCCGAGAGTTGGTTAGACCTACGCTGTGATTTTAGGCCAATTCGGTGATAAATTACCGTAAGCTCAGGTGAAGCGCCTAGTTGACGTTTGTGCCTTTCCTTCGTGAGCGTAGTGCACCATTGATTGTTTCAGCGGTTGTGTATTCACGTTCAGAATATTGTGCTTCCAAATACTACACAAGTGTATCCGACTTGGCACGGGTTGTGGTTTGCAGGTATGGCTTTGTCCTTCGATGGTGGTTATGGTGGTGATTTTGTTCGTTCTGTTATTTTTTCGCTATCCTTTACGTCGTAGGCACCATGCGAAGAAGGGAGAGGCGGCCGGGTTCTGCTACGTGAACGATTGCGTTCTGGCCGTTCTGCACCTCGCCAAGACCTTCGACACCGTGCTAATCATCGATATCGGTAAGACACGCTATTTATAGATGTTACCCTTTTCGAATGAATTCCCCTTGGAAAATATCGAGCACAAGCAACAGTGGCGCATTGTTTGAAGCTCGATTTGCACGTACACTGAGGCCCGCTTGCGAGTTTTTTTTTGTCTTTGCGGTCCTGATGATCGATAGTATTGGACAGAGATGATGAGATGGAGTTCATTGTGGTGCACACCGAAAGCCACAGCGGTACGGTGGGTTCTTTTTCTGTCGCTGTCACTGTGATAATGATATTTGTTGGTTTTGTCACTGTTGTTTGTGTCATTGTTGTCACGTCATGGAGTATCCTGACCTCTACGACCTTTCCTGGTGACTTTCCCCTCGCAAAGTGGCAGTCTTATCGGTTACATGTAGAGAGAAATTTGCTCATTGGTGATGGCGGTTCGCAAACAAGCATCTGTATGCTTCTAATTTCTCTCTGGTATTGTTGTTGTTGTTGTTGTGCAGATGTGCACCATGGTGACGGGGTTCAAGACGCTTTTTATATGTCCAACAAGGTGCGACAAACTGTGTCCAGAAAGTGAAACGTACTTCCAGAGTTTCGTATGCATTCGTACGCATATGCTTATGGGTTTGCGTTTGGCGTGCTTAACAAGATGCGTCAATGTGGCAGCATGTTCACTCATCCTTAGTGAAAAAGGCAGTGCCTGTTCAACAGAGTGTCCAAGTGAAAATGTACCCATTGTTGGTGTGAATGAAGTCTGGAAGGTATCTTACCCCCCCTAACAGGAATCCATCGTACGTTGTGCACGTTTGTTTAGTCATTTCACGTTGGTATCGGTCGGTGCGCAGTGTTGCACTATGGTAATAAGCGTTTTCGGGAATCAGCATGGCAATTTTCAGTTTTGGAATTAGTGGATGAGGCCAGGAGGTACGTATTTTGCCTTTCCAAACTTATTTCAGCCATGTGCGGCAATTTTTGTACTCGGGAGTCTTCAGAGATGAGCACAGCAAGCAGAGCCACACACACACTAGGTTATCTGCTTGTCCACAGTTATTTGTGTGCGGCTTTTCTCTAATTGCCTTTGAAGACTTGCGTCCACCATGAACGGCAATAGGCATCCTCCCTTCCGTGTTCTCTCACAAGAGGGCGATAGTCACGCCGTCACCACGGTACAACCGTCCCGCCGCCTTACAGAGCGCCCTCCATGTTGCGAAATATTACGTTAGAAACAGAGGACGCTCAAATAATAGCGAAAAATAAGAGCGTAGGGTTGAGAGATGCAGCTCAGCGGAGGATCCTACACTAATCTCCGTACTACAACCTGTGCTCGACGGTGGCGATGAAATATATAATACTCTCTATATTAACAACCTGTGGAATAGCAAACGCAACCTCCACTTTACAGCCTGTGCTCGAGAGTAGTAAAACGCAACTCTTTTTCACAGCCTGTGCTCGACAGAAGCCACGAAATGAAAACCTGATCCTCGACCCGATTTTGACGCTCTCATCTCGGGACCCGTTTTGTACAGGTGATGACGATGAGCTTTCACCACGTTTCGAAGGGATTTTTCCCCGGCGCCGGTCAGTGCTCGGAAACGGGAGCGGGAAACGGGCGTGACTACAACCTCAACATTCCTCTCAAAGAAGGTGAAGCGTAACCACACAGAAGCCTGTCGAGATGTTCCAATTCCACGACCATGTGTTGGCAAAGAAGGTGAAGCACAAGCTGTCGAGATTATCCGATTCCACCGCCATGTGTTGGCAAAGAAGGTGAAGCGTGAGGTGTCGAGATTATCCAACGCCACCGTATGAGTTGGCGAAAAAGGCGATCAACAGGCTGTCGAGATGTTCCAATCCATGGCACGTGCCGGCGAGAGCGCCCTCCCGGCCGTTGCTGACGGGTTTGTGGATACATTATTCCACGTATATAGGACGTGTGTGCGGGCTGTGGGGACGCCTCCTTTGTTCGAGTTTACACGAACGCCCTCCGGGCTGCTGCTGGCGGGTTCTACTATTCAGCGCCCCCCCTACTGTGGATGCAGCCGTCTACGGTATACCGTATATTGCGTGTGTGCAGGATGTGGAGATGCCTCGTTTCCGAGTTTTCACTACATAGCACCTTCCAGGACGTGCTGAGGGGTTCGTAGCACATACACAACACACACCCGTGTTTGCCATCGGGGTTAGGTTTTCGTCGCTTGGCAACGGCGTTGTAAAACAAGCCGATCACTTTGTGAGCTCGGCAGCCAGGTTACCGGGGTTTTTTTTTTGCCTCTGGTTTTCTTTTTCTGCGGTAACCATGATGATGGTCGAGTAGATTATGTTGTACGTGGTCGAGAATCCTCACTCCGCGCAAGGGGGATGATCGCACCGCGCTGTGTTGAAATGGTCAAGCATCCTCGAGGCAGTTACATAGTGCTTACAACTACCTCTGGAAGTCAAAGAACCAGGAAATAATTACATATGCATACGCAGCTGTCATCCGTACGCAAGGAAGTGAACACAAGATGCTGAACACCCTTAGCAGGATGCAGCGCACCCTTCGTGCGACTCGCCGAATACCTCACGGTGCTTCGTGCTTGGTGATGTGAGAGCGTGGTCCGGTGAGAACCCGGCGTGTCCCGTCCCGCCTTTGTAGGGATGCAAGGTCAACGGTCTAACGACTACGGAATGCACGCCTGTGAGTACCCCCCCCCCCCCCCCTTGGCCCTTCTTTTGGAACCCGACTCCCAAAATGGATACCTCCCTCTACTTTCCCGCATGCAGTGGGAATGCCCCCCTTCTTTCAGTACTCCACAACGCCCTCCCGGC